GCAGGATGTTGACATGTCACTCTCTGTTCTAGCAGGATGTTGACATGTCACTCTCTATATTCTAGCAGGATGTTGACATGTCACTCTCTGTTCTAGCAGGATGTTGACATGTCACTCTCTATATTCTAGCAGGATGTTGACATGTCACTCTATGTTCTAGCAGGATGTTGACATGTCACTCTATGTTCTAGCAGGATGTTGACATGTCACTATGTTCTAGCAGGATGTTGACATGTCACTCTCTATGTTCTAGCAGGATGTTGACATGTTACTCTCTATGTTCTATCAGGATGTTGACATGTCACTATGTTCTAGCAGGATGTTGACATGTCACTCTCTATGTTCTAGCAGGATGTTGACATGTCACTCTCTATGTTCTAGCAGGATGTTGACATGTCACTATGTTCTAGCAGGATGTTGACATGTCACTCTATGTTCTAGCAGGATGTTGACATGTCACTCTCTATGTTCTAGCAGGATGTTGACATGTCACTCTCTATGTTCTAGCAGGATGTTGACATGTCACTCTCTATGTTCTAGCAGGATGTTGACATGTCACTCTCTATGTTCTAGCAGGATGTTGACATGTCACTATGTTCTAGCAGGATGTTGACATGTCACTCTATGTTCTAGCAGGATGTTGACATGTCACTCTCTATGTTCTAGCAGGATGTTGACATGTCACTATGTTCTAGCAGGATGTTGACATGTCACTATGTTCTAGCAGGATGTTGACATGTCACTCTCTATGTTCTAGCAGGATGTTGACATGCCACTATGTTCTAGTAAGATGTTGACATGTCACTCTATATTCTAGCAGGATGTTGACATGTCACTATGTTCTAGCAGGATGTTGACATGTCACTATGTTCTAGCAGGATGTTGACATGTCACTATGTTCTAGCAGGATGTTGACATGTCACTCTCTATGTTCTAGCAGGATGTTGACATGTCACTATGTTCTAGCAGGATGTTGACATGTCACTCTCTATGTTCTAGCAGGATGTTGACATGTCACTATGTTCTAGCAGGATGTTGACATGTCACTCTCTATGTTCTAGCAGGATGTTGACATGTCACTATGTTCTAGCAGGATGTTGACATGTCACTCTCTATGTTCTAGCAGGATGTTGACATGTCACTATGTTCTAGCAGGATGTTGACATGTCACTATGTTCTAGCAGGATGTTGACATGTCACTCTCTATGTTCTAGCAGGATGTTGACATGTCACTATGTTCTAGCTGGATGTTGACATGTCACTATGTTCTAGCAGGATGTTGACATGTCACTCTATGTTCTAGCTGGATGTTGACATGTCACTCTCTATGTTCTAGCAGGATGTTGACATGTCACTCTCTATGTTCTAGCAGGATGTTGACATGTCACTCTCTATGTTCTAGCAGGATGTTGACATGTCACTCTCTATGTTCTAGCAGGATGTTGACGTCACTATGTTCTAGCAGGATGTTGACATGTCACTCTATGTTCTAGCAGGATGTTGACATGTCACTCTCTATGTTCTAGCAGGATGTTGACATGTCACTATGTTCTAGCAGGATGTTGACATGTCACTATGTTCTAGCAGGATGTTGACATGTCACTCTCTATGTTCTAGCAGGATGTTGACATGCCACTATGTTCTAGTAGGATGTTGACATGTCACTCTTTATTCTAGCAGGATGTTGACGTGTCACTATGTTCTAGCAGGATGTTGACATGTCACTATGTTCTAGCAGGATGTTGACATGTCACTCTCTATGTTCTAGCAGGATGTTGACATGTCACTCTCTATGTTCTAGCAGGATGTTGACATGTCACTATGTTCTAGCAGGATGTTGACATATCACTCTCTATGTTCTAGCAGGATGTTGACATGTCACTCTCTATGTTCTAGCAGGATGTTGACATGTCAATATGTTCTAGTAGGATGTTGACATGTCACTCTATATTCTAGCAGGATGTTGACATGTCACTCTATGTTCTAGCAGGATGTTGACATATCACTCTCTATGTTCTAGCAGGATGTTGACATGTCACTCTCTATGTTCTAGCAGGATGTTGACATGTCACTCTCTATGTTCTAGCAGGATGTTGACATGTCACTATGTTCTAGCAGGATGTTGACATGTCACTATGTTCTAGCAGGATGTTGACATGTCACTATGTTCTAGCAGGATGTTGACATGTCACTCTCTATGTTCTAGCTGGATGTTGACATGTCACTCTCTATGTTCTAGCAGGATGTTGACATGTCACTCTGTGTTCTAGCAGGATGTTGACATGTCACTATGTTCTAGCAGGATGTTGACATGTCACTATGTTCTAGCAGGATGTTGACATGTCACTCTCTGTGTTCTAGCAGGATGTTGACATGTCACTATGTTCTAGCAGGATGTTGACATGTCACTCTCTATGTTCTAGCAGGATGTTGACATGTCACTATGTTCTAGCAGGATGTTGACATGTCACTCTCTATGTTCTAGCAGGATGTTGTCATGTCACTATGTTCTAGCAGGATGTTGACATGTCACTCTCTGTTCTAGCAGGATGTTGACATGTCGCTATGTTCTAGCAGGATGTTGACATGTCACTATGTTCTAGCAGGATGTTGACATGTCACTATGTTCTAGCAGGATGTTGACATGTCACTATGTTCTAGCAGGATGTTGACATGTCACTCTCTATGTTCTAGCAGGATGTTGACATGTCACTATGTTCTAGCAGGATGTTGACATGTCACTATGTTTTTTATGTCACTAAGTTTTTTTTTCAGTTTCGTTTTAGATATATTTTCAGAAATATAAATACACATACACATTACATGTGTACGTGGCATATATTTAAATTAGGCCTACTCCCTTTTTTCCCTAGGGGGTGGGGTGACACATCATATCTAGCGACATTACTGTTATAATGTACTAGTACTGCAGTAGTGGTTACAAAAATCAATGTTAGAACTAAACACAATCCCTTGTCTATTAATTGTATTACCAAAGGGAGGTAACTCTTCTGGAAGAATACTTTTTACTTTTTGTTGTTGCTTCACTTGTCATATAAGTTGGCTCTAAATAAACGTTATAGTCACACGCTTTTATATTATATTCACCAAATAGAAGAAAACAAAATGATTTTCTTCAAACAAAAATATCCTAGTTGAAACCCTAGTTGTTGTGTCATCTACGTGTCAAGTGTGGGCAAAGACAAAAGAACGACAGAAGAATGAAGTTAAAATAATATTAAAAGCTTGAAGAAATTGAACACAATTACAAGTTGATTTTTTAACCCATAGATCTAGAGCTATTTACGTTTTATTAACAGTATTACTACTTCGTTGTTTTAAATTCGAAATAAATTCTGTACCAGCCCATTGTCAATCCAGTGACATAGGCTATAGGTTAAGATCTAGGTCTAAAACGTTTATTTAAAGAAAAAGATTGGTCTCTATAAGTTGAATATTTAGATTATAGATCTAATCTAGTAAGCCTACACACAGTGTCGTCGTTAAGTCGGGTGTCACCCGGTGCGGCACCTCATCATGTCACCCCCCCCCCCACCAAGAAAAAAAATATATATAGATGTATAATTTAAATCTATACGCATGTATCATATGTATATGTATTTTTATACCGTCTTTCCTCGGGGTCTATTTAAATATTTTGAAGCTCCAAATTTTGGGCTAAATTACGAACTCCATGGCAACCAAAGAGATTTTTATTCAACGTTTGAATCCGCTAGAAGTTATTAATCTTTTTACAAGCTTTTATTTAGTTCTCAACGTATGTTTTTTGTGGGTTTGTGGCTAATCTTGTAACTCAATTTTGACCCACTTCTAATGCAACGATTTCGTTCAAACTTTCCAGATACGTTCCGATTTCATCAGTACAGTTTCTTCCAGACTTTTTTCTCCGGGGGTGGGGGGTGGGGGGCGGACTAAAATTTTCGGGGGGGGGGGGGGGGCGTACATTGTTAAAAGTATATAGTTCCTATAGAATTTTCATTTCGTTTGGGGGGGGGGGGGGGGAGGGTTAGACTTTCTTCGGTAGCCCCCCCCCCCCCCAACCCCGGAAATTTAAGTAGGCCTACATGTTTAATAATTATAATAGTCATTAAAATTAATTACACGGTTTCGGCACTTAAAAGAAAGTCTACCCCCCCCCCCCCGAAAAAGATGGAATTTATATAGAAAATATTTACTTTTAACAGTGTCGACCCCCCCCCCCCCCCACCGGAAATTTTAGTCCGCCCCCCTCCCGAAAATTTCAAGTAAATAAAAATTGTAATATGAATTGATTAAAATACTCTATGTTGACAGATTTCAGACAAGATTTTGGAAAAATATCGTATTTTATGAAAAATTCAACTGCTATTTTGAGGGGGGGGGGGGTTGTAGGCTGAGATGTAGCGTCAGTTTAGGTGGTCTGTTTTTTGTGACAATGTGTGACGGAGGGGAGGGGGGGGGGTAAATCTTCAAAAAAAGCGTGACGTCATTTATGGATGACCCCATATCGCGAGCTACTGAATGTAAATATTTTTAGTCGTGTCAACTTCATAAATTAGGAATCACTTAAAAGTAGAAAATAAAACACATAAAAAACTTTATAGCGACAAGCTTTCTTTAATAAAATCTTTATTTTTCAATCTTGATCTTACGAATTCTTTATTAATTAAAAAAAATACAAATTCGAACTAGACGTAGAAAGACTAAACCTAGATTCTAGATCTAGATCTATGTCTTTGAATTTGGTTCTTTTTATTATTAAAGGCGACAAAAAAATCACAACGGTAATTTCTCTATGTGACAAAGTTATTTCATTAAAATTGGCCTGCCTTCGGCGAAAAAACAATATTGGTGACTAACTAAATGTCCATGCCTCGACTTTTCCCAAAAATGTTTTCATAACCAGTCAGCCATGAAATCCCTTCCTCAAGTTGTGTCTAGCAGACACAGTGACGTAAGCGAGAGGACGGCGTTAAACAGGAAGTCACCTCGTACAGGTACTGAAACATTCTGGTTCGGCCATTTGAATTCAGTCACCGCTGGATTTACCTTGAGTGACCCGACGGCAGTTTTATCGTATTTCACATCAACGTTTCAAAAGCTGGGATTTCTTTTCAAAGATGTAACTTTCACCAGACATAAACTCAGGTAGGTGCCCTAATTTGACGTATCAAGCAGGTATCAAGTCCTACCTTTGTTTTGATTGAGTTCATGATCGGACCAGTCGTAGGGTCGCAGCTGCTGTCACATACGGAAGTGAATGTATCACTTTCTAGAGTTCTAGAGTCTATGTGCTAGTCTAGATCTATGTACTAGATCTATGTATGTAAAGATCTACCAACCATCAAATGAACTGCCTGCTTTGGTCCACACAACAAGTACATTGGGATGATATTTAGAATCGACCCTTTGAATCCCGGACAGATCGTCCCCCCGGCGTGGCCTCAACCAACCGGCGGGCTCGTTGCATTGAGTTAAATATAAACTCAAAACAATAATAATATAAACAATCTCCTTTCGGTCGGTCAGGCCACACTACTTTACAACATATTAAGGTACATAAACATGTCAGTAAGTTTGTTTCACATGATTAACTATTTATTACTATAATCTTCAGTCTATAGGCCTAGATCTAATATAAAAATACTAAAAATAGTACATGTCACATGTGAACATAGTACATAGATCTACTAGATTCTAGATCTAAATAGATCTACTTGGCAGTAGATCTTGAATCTAATCTAGTTCTTGTAGAAACTAGTACTATCTAGTAGGTTCATGACTTTTGTTATATTTCACAAAGTATGAGATTAACCAAAATATCAGGTCACCAAATATCAAATAAAATAATCATAAAAAAAAATCCAGTAACAAAGACCTTTTTTCCATTTATATCTAGATCTAGTTATTAATTATTCCATTCTTGGCAACTAGTTTGATGAGTTATAAGTAGTAGTGTAGGGCTACAGCGGATCATGACTCGAATCAAATGACAGAAAGTTTGAAAATTTAGTTGTGTGATGAGTGACAACTAGATCTAGATGGAAAAAAGGCCTACGTGTTGTAGTTCTTTGTTACTGGATTTTGGTGGTAATAGTAGAGTAAACTGATACAGGAAAAGGATAAGATTTGAACACATATAGCCTACACACATGACCTGATATTCTCTGTGCGTCAGTGTATGTGTGTGTGGGGGGGGGGGGTGTACCACATCTACACACATGACATTCTGTGGTATGGGGGGATACTCTAAAATGTCTAACTACACCTGCTGTGAATATATATATATATATATATACGCATATATATATATATATATATATATATATATATATATATATATATATATATATATATATATATATATACGCATATATATATATATGTATATATATATATATATATATATATATATATATATATATATATACGCATATATATATATATATATATATATATATATATATATATATATATATATATATATATATATATATATATATATATACGCATATATATATATATATATATATATATATATATATATATATATATATATATATATATATATATATATATATATATACGCATATATATATATATATACGCATATATATATATATATATATATATATATATATATATATATATATATATATATATATATATATATATATATATATATGTATATATATATATATATATGTATATATATATATATATATGTATATATATATATATATATGTATATATATATATATATATATATGTATATATATATGTATATATATGTATATATATATATATATATGTATATATATATATATATATAGAGAGAGAGAGAGAGAGAGAGAGGGGGGGGGAGATAGTGTGTGTATCGGCCTACAAAGACCTATAATTTAAATATATGGCACATACGCGTACATCTATGTGTTTATCTATAGCCTGTTAATAATACAGTTGCATATAGCATTGTTTTCTCTACAGTTAGCCCGTTTACGTTATGATGTCAACCCAACCCTCTTGTAATAATTGTCACTATAAAAAAATACTAACTTTAATTAATCATCAATGGATGTGTCCATGTGGACGTCCATGAACTTAACATCAGAAGTGAAACAAGTATAAAACTTGTACCTTGCGAGTACAAAGTGAAATTAAGATGAAAGGGTTCGTGTTTAGAAATAAAAAAAAAACATATCCAAATTTGTAAATAAACCACTGTATTTATACCTTTACTGGGGTCTTCCATAGAATAGGTGACGTCATAGTTTTAAACGATTTTTTTTCTCCCCCCCCCCCCCCATTCAACGTCACACATCAGCACAACAAGCCTGGACCAAACATGAAGTGACGTCACATCTCAGCCTATCACGTTCTCAAAACTTTTTAAAAAATAGACGGTAATTTTTTTCTTAAATATTTACTGAGCACAGTCAACGTTGTAGAGGTCCATTTTAATATATTTTTTTTAATTATAAAAAAAAAACGACCTACGTACAGCATCGAACACATAGGCCTACACAAAGTGTTTGATTTTTGGCATGAGATTTTGGTTTTTTGTGGGGAAAATCAATCAGATAAAAAAGGCATTTATACTTAGACGTTTAAATCATACTAGTTTTTCTCTATACTTACTATATTCTATATTACCGAAAATATGAAATCCGAATATCAGTTAATAGGTTTTGAATGTATGTGGACGTACACAACTGGGGGGAGGGGGGTTGTTGAAAGGGGACGCGCGTGAGTCCGGATTTTGTGGGTGTTATAAAATGGTGACCGCTTGGTGACAAAAACACCGAGAATATCGATGTTTTGATATGTTCATTGGCAGATTAAGGGTTTTGTTTTTTTCCTTTAACAGAGTTATAGTGTCAGATTACTGCTATTGCTACGTTCATATCTTCAAGATCTCTACATTTATGTGACAGAACCAAGTCACTCAGTGCTTTGTTGGTTGTCTTTCTGTTGGTCGATGTAGAATTGGTCGTCTTTCTGTTGGTCGATCTAGAATTGGTTGTCTTTCTGTTGGTCGATGTAGAATTAGTCGTCTTTCTGTTGGTCGATGTAGAATTGGTCGTCTTTCTGTTGGTCGATGTAGAATTGGTCGTCTTTCTGTTTGTCATCTCTAAGTTAGTCGATGTCGAATTGGTCGATGTCGAGTTGGTCATCTTTCTGTTGGTCGATGTCGAGTTGGTCGTCTTTCTGGTGGTCGATTTCGAGTTGTTCGCCACTGGTTTAACCGATTCAGTACTATGACAACATTGAGACAACAAACTGTCAAGAGCTCACACAGGTCTAGTTATCACATACTTGTGTATTAATTGTATACTGCGAGAACTTCTGCAGAAAAGATAAAAAGTGTATTAGAATAATTGTTAAAAATCGAAATCACTTTGTCAACTATCTTGTGCTATTGTTTTATTGCCTTGTCCTAAAACAGGCTCATTACATTCTGTAACTGTTAATCCGCCACGAGTGCACCACTTTATTTAATCCTCCACCGTGTCCTTCTTTATTTAATCCACCGTGTACTACTTTATTTAATCCTCCACCGTGTACCACTTTATTTAATCCTCCACCGTATACTACTTTATTTAATCATCCCAGTCTTTCACGTGGCCTCTGGTCAAACGGTTGATGTTAACTTTATAATCACGTGATCTGGTCAAACGTTTGATGTTAACTTTATAATCACGTGATCTGGTCAAACGTTTGATGTTAACTTTATGCAATTCCGAAGATCGATGACACAAAGAATAAAGCCGTCATAATCTAAAAATAACCGGCTTGAATTTTCTACCTTTCCGCTCTATGACTTTCTCTTATCAGATTTGCCCCTAAGGGTGCGGCAGAGCCCTGGCGAATGACTTGAATAATCACTACACGCACTTATTGTGCAGCACTTACAACGAGGTAGTATTCGATTTGTGAGAGGTCCGTGTCACACACTGTGTAGGCTACAGGTTGTGCGAGCTTTGGGGATGAATCACCTGCTTACTTTTATGGCCAGTCTTTAGGCGGACTTAAAATATTTGAACTGGTGGCTGATATGGAGAGAAGAATGCATGAATAGCAGACGTGGGAAACAGCAGCATAGCTTGTACAAACTGTCACAATGTTGCTCGCTGGTGTCAGTTGATAACTTTGGTCGGTTGGTTCATAAAGTCAGGACCACAACTGTCCCTAACACCATTAGATTTGATCGTTTGGTCCCCAACACTGTAACATTAGATCATTTGGTCCCCAACACTGTAACATTAGATCATATGGTCCCCAACACTGTAACATTAGATCATTTGATCCCCAACACTGTAACATTAGATCATATGGTCCCCAACACTGTAACATTAGATCATTTGATCCCCAACACTAAAATTTGATAATTTGGTCCCAACACTAACATTTGATGATTTGGTCCCCAACATTAGATCATTGTAAGTTTCGAACATGGCTCTTTTAAACAGCTTTCTTTTTCAGTAACTGGCTTTATTCTTAAAATTCTGTGTAGACTTCCTCATTGTTGGCTTTTTGTAGCTTGTCCTAATTACTCTATTCTGGGCAGGGTTGATTTTTTTTTGCTTCATCCATGACGTCACGCTTTTTTGACGATTTTTACCCCCCCCCTTTCCGCACCGTCATACATCGTCACAAAAAGTCAGATCCCTCCAATGACGTTATAAATATACCTCAGCCTCAAAATCGCAGTTAAAAAATTTTTCCAAGCATCAATTTATTTCTAAAATATTGAATGAGATCGTTAACCATTTCCTTCCATTTTGTCCGATCTCCGGCTATTAATTTTGCAATTTCCCAACACATTCCTGTTTGCTTCAGTTCTTTGAGAAGACTCCGCCTCCAGGTCTGTCTTGGGCGCTCTCTCCTGCTTTCCCTGGGGGTTCCACTCAAGCACATGGCGTGTAACATTTGTGTGAGCCTTTCGCAGTGTGTGACCCACCCAGCGCCACTTTCTCCTTCTTATTTGCACACCCAAAGGCTCCTGCCTAGCTTTCCTCCATAGTTCCAAGTTCGGCACTTTGTCCTGCCACCTCAATTTCAAAATCTGTTTAAGGCATGGGTTCCCAAACTAGGATGGAACCCCAGGGGGTCGCAAAGGGTTTTTTGAGGTTGCCTACTGGTACTCTAAAACAAAACAAATATTTAGAAGAATATCTGAAATTCAGCTTTACTAACATCACAGGAAATGGAATAGAGAAGAAACAATGCTTACTGTGAAAAGTTGTTCTCAGTCATGAGTCTATGAAACCTTCAAAACTAAAACATCAATTTGAGACTAGTCATTCAGAACACACCAAAAAGATATGGAGTTCTTTCGTCGTCAGAGACTTGATCGAACAGGAAGTTTTTACCATGAAATTAATTCTTGGGGGTTCCAGTGCAGTAAAGATGCAACAAATAACTCTGTCTAATAATACTATTCAGCGGCTTATAGCAGCAGACATTTCTGCAGATGTTAAAGAACAAATTTTTAATAAAATCAAGCTTTTGCCATTGTTTGTTTTTCAAGTTGGTGAAATCACAGACATGAGTTTGTTTTGCAGTTGCTTGTCTATGTGAAATATATTTATTCAGATGATAGCAAAGAAGAGTTGCTATTTTGTGAAGATATCACAGAGAAAATAATTTTTTTTTGAAAATGGATGATTAAAATGGGAAAACAGCTGTCGGGTTTGTATGATTCACTGGTATACCCACGTCAGCAAGACTCTTCCGACTCCATAGCTAATAAAAGTAGTAAATTATATTAAATCTGAGGCATTTGTTCATGAAGGTCTGTCTCTGCTCTGCCTGCCTTGGAGACTCTCCATGTCTCTGCTCCACATAGCTAAACTGCCTTGACATTTGAGTTAAGTATCCTAATTTTTGTTGTGTTGGCGATGGCTCTTATTTCACCAACCAGTCTATTTCACCAACCAGTCTATTTCACCAACCTGTCTATTTCACCAACCTGTCTATTTCACCAACCTGTCTATTTCACCAACCGGTCTATTTCACCAACCGGTCTATTTCACCAACCTGTCTATTTCACCAACCAGTCTATTTCACCAACCTGTCTATTTCACCAACCTGTCTATTTCACCAACTGGTCTATTTCACCAACCTGTCTATTTCACCAACCTGTCTATTTCACCAACCTGTCTATTTCACCAACCAGTCTATTTCACCAACCTGTCTATTTCACCAACCTATTTCACCAACCTGTCTATTTCACCAACCGGTCTATTTCACCAACCTGTCTATTTCACCAACCAGTCTATTTCATCTAAGACTTTAAGGAAAGTTTGTGATAATGGGCCATAGTGTGTAAGCCAAAAGCACCCCCCCCCCTCCCCAAGTCTAGCTGTCAGCTTACTGTAAACTTTATTGCTTTATGGTCCAAGCTAAAACTGAATTATAAACACAGAATGGTTACAGAGAAACATTTATAGTGCTGACTTTTTCATGCTTCAACTCTTGTATATTTGATGTGTTAGTATATGTGTTACTCTTTTGTTTCAGATTGTCAGCACACTGACCGGCCTTTCTTAGCAGCTGACCAGCCTACTGACCAGCTGACCAGCCTACTGACCAGCTGACCGGCCTACTGAGCAGCTGACCAGCCTACTGAGCAGCTTAGTCTCAGTGGTCACTGACCTGCTGACCAAATATGGGAAGGTCAGCCCAGTCTCACTTGACCCCAGCAGTCCTATTGTTGCTGTTGTGCTGCCAGTCATACAGTGCAGCCTCCAGACTTAGGAGGGCAGTGACCAACGTCACCTACACCAGCTCACCTATTGCTGAAAATGTTAACAACGATGTTACACTTTTTGACCTGAACACTGTTGCTCCTAACAGGAGATTTGAAGTGACTGATAACTCAGCCAAAAAATCCAACATGTTCTCCACCGCGAATGGCAGGCTGACACTCAGCCCCTCACTATCCGCCACAGACAGGAAGCTGCTGGACTATGACAAGTATCCAGATTTTTTTGTATTTGTCAGAGCTACCAATATATCAGATCCTAATGGTAATTTTTTAAAGTCTTTTTAAACTGTTCCAGCTTTTTAAAGTCTTCCAACTTTTTTAAGTCTTCCAACTTTTTTGACTGTTCCAACTTTTTAAAGTCTTCCAACTTATTAAACTGTTCAAACTTTTTAAAGTCTTCCAACTTTTAATGTTTATGAAAAGTTACCACCAGATCCTAATGGTAACTTATATTATGTCCTATGGTGATCCAATGAAAAATTTAATTGAACTTAACTAAGGAGCTTTGAAAAATAATTAAACATAACTATGTAGCTAGAAAAAAAATGCTACAATCATACTATAAAAATCAATCGATCACAATCTTTATGAACAATGTTAAAAACAAATTGATATCACTGAAAATCACTAATATCCAGTCCTCAAATCTACATACACAATTATACAAACAGTTATTATTTTAAATTTACTGCCTGTTAATCAAAACATATGGGGTTGATGTGGTCTAGTCTGTAAAGCTCATGGTTTCTAAACCCAAAAGTCTCAAGTTTGAACTCATGGGCAGATGAGGCTTGATAGCTGGGGATAATAACTCTTGTAGGAGAAATTATTCCAAAATTGAATAACTGCTGCCTTGTAGTTTGTTCTTGGTTGAACAAAGGCTATAGATGATAGAAGCAAGCTGAAAAAGAAAAGGAGGCGCATAAAAAGTTTACACGAAATACTTAATTATTTTGGAAAGAATCCCTTCCAAATATAAGAAAAATTAAGAATGAAAAATAAGAATCAAGCATTTGTGTAATTATGTAACTAGAAGATTTACTTCCACTGTTAATTCTGATTGTCTGGGTAACTGAATTCCATGATTCACATAAAAAAATGTTGTCCCACATCTCTCCCCACTTCAAATGTTATTACAAAAAGCTGTTTTTTTAAACACATTATATCCCATCTAGAAACCCTTTGAATGAAATGTCCTGAAATTTATTTTCACCAACCACTACACATCAACAGCTACACATCAACCACTACACATCAACCACTACACACCAACCACTACACATCAACCACTACACATCAACCACTACACATCAACAACTACACATCAACCACTACACACCAATCATTACACATAACAACTACACATCAACCACTACATACCAAATTCCTCCTCTTGTTTCCACGCAGATATCTTGCAGATGAGCATTGTGCTGAAGTTGACAAACGTTGATGATGAGCCACCAGTAATAACAAACAAACCACAGCCCTACCTGGCCACACTTTCCACCTCTGCAGCACCTGGCACTGTGGTCTACATGCTGACCGCTAGTGACCCAGATTCAGATCTTACAAGATTAAAGTTTGAGATCAAAAGTCGTAAGTGTACATGCAGATCTATGTCTGTAAGTGTTTGTGCAAATCTATGTCTGTAAGTGTATGTGCAGATCTATGTAAGTGTATGTGCAGATCTATGTAAGTGTATGTGCAGATCTATGTCTGTAAGTGTATGTGCAGATCTATGTCTGTAAGTGTTTGTGCTGATCTATGTCTGTAAGTGTATGTGTAATCTGTCTGTAAGTGTATGTGCAGATCTATGTAAGTGTATGTGCAGATCTATGTCTGTAAGTGTATGTGCAGATCTATGTCTGTAAGTGTATGTGCAGATCTATGTCTGTAAGTGTATGTGCAGATCTATGTCTGTAAGTGTATGTGCAGATCTATGTCTGTAAGTGTATGTGCAGATCTATGTCTGTAAGTGTATGTGCAGATCTATGTAAGTGTATGTGCAGATCTATGTCTGTAAGTGTATGTGCAGATCTATGTAAGTGTATGTGCAGATCTATGTCTGTAAGTGTATGTGCAGATCTATGTCTGTAAGTGTATGTGCAGATCTATGTCTGTAAGTGTATGTGCAGATCTATGTCTGTAAGTGTGTAACTTCAAGTCTCAGGAAATCACAGCACGTGTCAGCTAAGTTTTGATTGACAGCTGTGACCTAATTTTTCTTTTTGACAGAATCTCCCTCTACCAGCCCCAGCAGATTTATCCTGGGCCAAACTGACGGGATCCTAAAGACTGTGGGGGAGGCGCCCTTTACAGCTGGGATAGAGTTCACTGTCACGGTAATGACACATTACATGTACTGTCACGGTAATGACACATTACATGTACTGTCACGGTAATGACACATTACATGTACTGTCACGGTAATGACACATTACATGTACTGTCACGGTAATGACACATTACACATGTACTGTCACGGTAATGACACATTACATGTACTGTCACGGTAATGACACATTACATGTACTGTCATGGTAATGACACATTACACATGTATTGTCATGGTAATGACACATTACACATGTACTGTCATGGTAATGACACATGTACTGTCATGGTAATGACACATGTACTGTCATGGTAATGACACATTACATGTACTGTCATGGTAATGACACATTACATGTACTGTCATGGTAATGACACATGTACTGTCACGGTAATGAGGCATGACACATGTACTGTCACAGTAATGACACATGTACTGTCATGGTAATGACACATTACATGTACTGTCATGGTAATGACACATGTACTGTCACGGTAATGAGACATGACACATGTACTGTCACTGGTAATGACACATGTACTGTCACGGTAATGAGACATGACACATGTATTGACCATCCACATACAAACAGAGGTGACCACAAACAAATCTGGTGGCTTAACAAATAATCTTTGAATTTTTAATGACAAATGTAATTAAATTTGATTAAAAATTAGATATTCTTGCTTTTTCTGAGGAGAAAAATATAACTGGAAAGCTTAAATAAAAACTCAGACACTGTAAACTAAATAAAAGCTTTTAATTGAAAAACTGTCTTGTAATAAATAATTCAGCTGATTTTGATTGGTTTATAAAGTAATGAGGATTTAATTGATTGACCACTACAGATATCTGTAACTGATCCGGCAAACAACATGCTGACGGCAGATATCAAAGTTTTGATTGGTCAAAGACCCCCGCAGTTCTTCTCTACTACATACACTGGTCAAATCTATGAAAGTGTTAAACCAGAGGACCATAACAGGTATGTCATACTCAGTAAAATTAAATGATTGTGTACTTGTCAATTCTGTGTACATCTTGGTCAGTAAAATGAAATGATTGTGTACTTGTCAATTCTGTGTACATCTTGGTCAGTAAAATGAAATGATTGTGTACTTGTCAATTCTGTGTACATCTTGGTCAGTAAAATGAAATGATTGTGTACTTGTCAATTCTGTGTACATCTTGGTCAGTAAAATGAAATGATTGTGTACTTGTCAATTCTGTGTACATCTTGGTCAGTAAAATGAAATGATTGTGTACTTGTCAATTCTGTGTACATCTTGGTCAGTAAAATGAAATGATTGTGTACTTGTCAATTCTGTGTACATCTTGGTCAGTAAAATGAAATGATTGTGTACTTGTCAATTCTGTGTACATCTTGGTCAGTAAAATGAAATGATTGTGTACTTGTCAATTCTGTGTACATCTTGGTCAGTAAAATGAAATGATTGTGTACTTGTCAATTCTGTGTACATCTTGGTCAGTAAAATGAAATGATTGTGTACTTGTCAATGCTGTGTACATCTTGGTCAGTAAAATGAAATGATTGTGTACTTGTCAATTCTGTGTACATCTTGGTCAGTAAAATGAAATGATTGTGTACTTGTCAATTATGTGTACATCTTGGTCAGTAAAATGCAATGATTGTGTACTTGTCAATTCTGTGTACATCTTGGTCAGTAAAATGAAATGATTGTGTACTTGTCAATTCTGTGTACATCTTGGTCAGTAAAATGAAATGATTGTGTACTTGTCAATGCTGTGTACATCTTGGTCAGTAAAATGAAATGATTGTGTACTTGTCAATTCTGTGTACATCTTGGTCAGTAAAATGCAATGATTGTGTACTTGTCAATGCTGTGTACATCTTGGTCAGTAAAATGCAATGATTGTGTACTTGTCAATTCTGTGTACATCTTGGTCAGTACAATGCAATGATTGTGTACTTGTCAATGCTGTGTACATCTTGGTCAGTAAAATGAAATGATTGTGTACTTGTCAATGCTGTGTGTGGTATGTGTACTAGCTAGTGTGGCAACCACTTGATCCATCAACTGCTTTCTTCATATTTATCCAAATGTTTCATGTCAAATTATTTAAATTCATTTATTTTATTTTATTTAATAGATTTTATAGACAGATGTAGCTTTTTCTGCTTCCCCTTTGTCACACTCCCTCCCCCCCCCCCCCATGCTTTGGAACATTATCTGCCAATATTTTCCATCAAATGATTTTTACAAAAGTAAAAAGGATAAGAAGAGTCTGAGGTGTCAGGAGGGGACACCATTGCGAAAGTTGCAAAATTTGAAGAAGAAATATGGTAGCATCATTTACCCATGTGTTTCAGGGTTCTAGATGAATTGTAGCATCATTTACCCATGTGTTTCAGGGTTCTAGAGATGAATGGTAGCATCCTTGTTGTGAGTGTCAAGCAGTTTCAGACGGGTCCAGTCCAGTTGTTGCTTGCTGACCAGAGCTCAAGTCAGCCATATGCACAATACTTTGACAACCCATCTGTAGTGTCTGTTGCAAACTCAGTTTACTCATTTAATATTCAGGGGGGAAAGGTCAGTCTGTCACAAACTCAGTTCACTCATTTAATATTCAGGGGGGAAAGGTCAGTCTGTCACAAACTCAGTTCACTCATTTAATATTCAGGGGGAAAGGTCAGTCACAAACTCAGTTCACTCATTTAATATTCAGGGGGAAAGGTCAGTCACAAACTCAGTTCACTCATTTAATATTCAGGGGGGAAAGGTCAGTCTCAAACTCAGTTTAGTCATTTAATACTCAGGGGGGAAAGGTCAGTCACAAAATCAGTTCACTTATTTAATATTAAGGGGGGAAAGGTCAGTCACAAACTCAGTTCACTCATTTAATATTCAGGGGGGAAAGGTCAGTCACAAACTCAGTTCACTCATTTAATATTCAGGGGGGAAAGGTCAATCACAAACTCAGTTCACTCATTTAATATTCAGGGAAAAAGGTCAGTCTGTCACAAACTCAGTTTAGTCATTTAATACTCTAGGGTCTTAGGTCAATTTACTGCATTTTTATAATATCTTTGTGTTTTTATTTAATTGGACACTACACAAAATGTAACAAAAATCTATTGTGGGAGAGGGGAGTGTTGAAGAAGCAATTTGCCACTACCTCCAAAATCGACTTAATTTTTTAATAACAATCAGTTGTGTAATATCCACAAACTTTGAACTTAAATTTTAAAATAAAAGCAACATAAAAGAAAAAGTAATAACACGTTTAGAATATTGGTTAGTCTGTGTGTAGACATGGGTTAGTCTGTGTGTCGACATGGGTTAGTCTGTGTGTTGACATGGGTTAGTCTGTGTGTCGACATGGGTTAGTCTGTGTGTAGACATGGGTTAGTCTGTGTGTAGACATGGGTTAGTCTGTGTGTAGACATGGGTTAGTCTGTGTGTAGACATGGGTTAGTCTGTGTGTTGACATGGGTTAGTCTGTGTGTTGACATGGGTTAGTCTGGTTATAAGCCATGTTAAAATGTGTTTTGTGCAGACCATTGACTACGAGAACGTGAAGTTGATGACACTTGTGATGGTGGCTAAAGAAATAAACACTGGCTTGTCCAGCACTGTTTCTGTAAGTACTCTGTTTCTCTGACCACTTAACTTTTTTTTTTCTCACCACTACTGCTGCTGATTCTGACCACTACTGCTGCTGATTCTGACCACTACTGCTGCTGATTCTGACCACTACTGCTGCTGATTCTGACCACTACTGCTGCTGATTCTGACCACTACTGCTGCTGATTCTGACCACTATTGCTGCTGATTCTGACCACTACTGCTGCTGATTCTGACCACTACTGCTGCTGATTCTGACCACTACTGCTGCTGATTCTGACCACTACTGCTGCTGATTCTGACCACTACTGCTGCTGATTCTGACCACTACTGCTGCTGATTCTGACCACTACTGCTGCTGATTCTGACCACTACTGCTGCTGATTCTGACCACTATTGCTGCTGATTCTGACCACTACTACCTGACTGACTGACAATGGTGTAGTGATCTTGGTGATATCTCATGAATTGCAGGCTGTTATAAATGTTCTGGATGAGAATGATAATGCTCCAGTGTTTGGGCTGGCACAGTACAGCACTAGACAGCTAGAAAATGTGGCAATCAACAGCACTATCCTTACAGGTAAGTCAACAGCACTATCCTTACAGGTAAGTCAACAGCACTATCCTTACAGGTAAGTCAACAGCACTATCCTTACAGGTAAGTCAACAGCACTATCCTTACAGGTAAGTCAACAGCACTATCCTTACAGGTAAGTCAACAGCACTATCCTTACAGGTAAGTCCCACAAGGATGAGACCCAACTCTTAAATTGTTGTTCTAAAAAAATGCAAAAATATCTTTTCAGTGACGGCGACAGATAAAGATTCTGGTCCAAATGCTGAACTAACATTTTCTGTGGAGGATGGCAACTTTACAGTGGACACAACCAAAGATCCATCGGGCAGTGGCTATCTCGGGGCTATCAAGCTTAGAAGGTTAGGCCTCTCTAGTCCAGCCGGCTTTGTCTATGTCCATTGTATATCTATGATATATATATATATCTATGATATATATATATATATATATCTATGATATATATATATATATATATATATATATATATATATATATATATATATATATATCTATATATCTATATATATATATATATATATATATATATATATATATATATATATATATATATATATATATTGGCTCCTTTCAGAGCACTGGACTATGAGTTGACCAGAAAATATGAATTTAAAGTGAAAGTTACAGATGGTGGCAAGAGTCCATTAACTTCTGAAGTTCTGGTAGAGGTCACAGTGGACAATGTAAATGACAACAGTCCAGTCATTGACAACAGGTCAGTAGTCCAGTCATGGACAACTGGTCAATAGTCCAGTAGTGTGTTTGAAGAGAGTGTTTTACATTTACATGTAGAACTAGTGTGTGAGATCAATGTATTTTGTATGATGTAGAACTAGTGTGTGAGATCAATGTATTGTGTATGTATAAAACTTGTGTGTGAGATCAATGTATTGTGTGTGATGTAGAACTTGTGTGTGAGATCAATGTATTTTGTGTGATGTAGAGCTAGTGTGTGAGATCAATGTATTGTGTGTGATGTAGAACTAGTGTGTGAGATCAATGTATTGTGTGTGATGTAGAACTAGTGTGTGAGATCAATGTATTGTGTGTGATGTAGAACTTGTGTGTGAGATCAATGTATTGTGTATGTATAAAACTTGTGTGTGAGATCAATGTATTGTGTGTGATGTAGAACTTGTGTGTGAGATCAATGTATTGTGTGTGATGTAGAGCTAGTGTGTGAGATCAATGTATTGTGTATGATGTAGAACTTGTGTGTGAGATCAATGTATTGTGTGTGATGTAGAACTAGTGTGTGAGATCAATGTATTGTGTATGATGTAGAGCTTGTGTGTGAGATCAATGTATTGTGTATGATGTAGAACTAGTGTGTGAGATCAATGTATTGTGTATGATGTAGAACTAGTGTGTGAGATCAATGTATTGTGTGTGATGTAGAGCTAGTGTGTGAGATCAATGTATTGTGTGTGATGTAGAACTTGTGTGTGAGATCAATGTATTGTGTATGATGTAGAACTAGTGTGTGAGATCAATGTATTGTGTGTGATGTAGAGCTAGTGTGTGAGATCAATGTATTGTGTATGATGTAGAACTTGTGTGTGAGATCAATGTATTGTGTATGATGTAGAACTAGTGTGTGAGATCAATGTATTGTGTGTGATGTAGAACTTGTGTGTGAGATCAATGTATTGTGTATGATGTAGAACTAGTGTGTGAGATCAATGTATTGTGTGTGATGTAGAACTTGTGTGTGAGATCAATGTATTGTGTATGATGTAGAGCTAGTGTGTGAGATCAATGTATTGTGTGTGATGTAGAACTTGTGTGTGAGATCAATGTATTGTGTATGATGTAGAACTAGTGTGTGAGATCAATGTATTGTGTATGATGTAGAACTAGTGTGTGAGATCAATGTATTGTGTATGATGTAGAGCTAGTGTGTGAGATCAATGTATTGTGTGTGATGTAGAACTTGTGTGTGAGATCAATGTATTGTGTGTGTATAAAACTTGTGTGTGAGATCAATGTATTGTGTATGATGTAGAACTAGTGTGTGAGATCAATGTATTGTGTATGATGTAGAGCTAGTGTGTGAGATCAATGTATTGTGTATGATGTAGAACTTGTGTGTGAGATCAATGTATTGTGTGTGTATAAAACTTGTGTGTGAGATCAATGTATTGTGTATGATGTAGAACTAGTGTGTGAGATCAATGTATTGTGTGTGATGTAGAGCTAGTGTGTGAGATCAATGTATTGTGTGTGATGTAGAGCTAGTGTGTGAGATCAATGTATTGTGTATGTATAAAACTTCACTAATGAAAAATATCTTTTCCCCAGCACGAATAAATTCTCCCTGAATGAGACCGCTCCAATCAATTCTATTTTGGGTATCATTCAGGCATCAGATGCAGATGGGGACAAAATTAACTTTTACTTAAATAGTGAGTGATTTTTTATTTTAATAATTAGCACCTCAACTCTGACACATTCATGTCCTATACATCTATGCCCTACACATCTACGCCCTACACATCTACACCCTACACATCTACGCCCTACACATCTACGCCCTACACATCTAACCCACACATCTACGCCCTACACATCTAACCTACACATCTACGCCCTACACATCTACGCCCTACACATCTACGCCCTACACATCAATGCCCTACACATCTACGCCCTACACATCTACGCCCTACACATCAATGCCCTACACATCTACGCCCTACACATCTACGCCCTACACATCTACGCCCTACACATCTAAGCCCTACACATCTAAGCCCTACACATCTAAGCCCTACACATCTACGCCCTACACATCTACGCCCTACACATCTACGCCCTACACATCTAACCCACACATCTAACCCACACATCTACACCCTACACATCTACGCCCTACACATCTAAGCCCTACACATCTAAGCCCTACACATCTACGCCCTACACATCTACGCCCTACACATCTACGCCCTACACATCTAACCCACACATCTAACCCACACATCTACACCCTACACATCTACGCCCTACACATCTAACCCTACACATCTAACCCACACATCTACGCCCTACACATCTACGCCCTACACATCAATGCCCTACACATCTATTCTCTGTCTATATGTCTCACTCGTATATACAATAATGTTTCAGCATTAACTAGCTGTATACCCTAATGTTTCAGCATTAACTAGCTGTGTACCCTAATGTTTCAGCATTAACTAGCTGTATACCCTAATATTTCAGCATTAACTAGCTGTGTACCCTAATGTTTCAGCATTAACTAGCTGTATACCCTAATGTTTCAGCATTAACTAGCTGTATACCCTAATGTTTCAGCATTAACTAGCTGTGTACCCTAATGTTTCAGCATTAACTAGCTGTATACCCTAATATTTTAGCATTAACTAGCTGTGTACCCTAATATTTCAGCATTAACTAGCTGTGTACCCTAATATTTCAGCATTAACTAGCTGTGTACCCTACTGTTTCAGCATTAACTAGCTGTGTACCCTAATATTTTAGCATTAACTAGCTGTGTACCCTAATATTTCAGCCCCAAACCAAACAGTGTCTGAGATCTTTAAGATTGACGCAGCCTCTGGCCTCCTGCAGCTAAACAGTGCCATCCCCAAGAGCAAAGACTACTATCAGCTCACAGTGCTGGCAGTGGACTCTGACACCTGCTGCTCTGTTAAGGTTGGGAGCAGAACATCTTCTGCCTTCTTCACGGTCAACATCATTGATGTCAACATCAACAAGCCTAACTTTAATGAGTGTGCTATCTATGACATCAATGCCAAGGTCAAGGAGAAATCACCTATCGGGACTAAAGTTATTCAGGTAAACAAAAGTTGTCTTCAAGATGGGGGAAAATGTTTTCCGTAGGTTCAACCCCATAAACCTAGTCATGTTTTCTGTAGGTTCAACCCCATAAACCTAGTCATGTTTTCTGTAGGTTCAACCCCATAAACCTAGTCATGTTTTCTGTAGGTTCAACCCCATAAACCTAGTCATGTTTTCTGTAGGTTCAACCCCATAAACCTAGTCATGTTTTCTGTAGGTTCAACCCCATAAACCTAGTCATGTTTTCTGTAGGTTCAACCCCATAAACCTAGTCATGTTTTCTGTAGGTTCAACCCCATAAACCTAGTCATGTTTTCTGTAGGTTCAACCCCATAAACCTAGTCATGTTTTCTGTAGGTTCAACCCCATAAACCTAGTCATGTTTTCTGTAGGTTCAACCCCATAAACCTAGTCATGTTTTCTGTAGGTTCAACCCCATAAACCTAGTCATGTTTTCTGTAGGTTCAACCCCATAAACCTAGTCATGTTTTCTGTAGGTTCAACCCCATAAACCTAGTCATGTTTTCTGTAGGTTCAACCCCATAAACCTAGTCATGTTTTCTGTAGGTTCAACCCCATAAACCTAGTCATGTTTTCTGTAGGTTCAACCCCATAAACCTAGTCATGTTTTCTGTAGGTTCAACCCCATAAACCTAGTCATGTTTTCTGTAGGTTCAACCCCATAAACCTAGTCATGTTTTCTGTAGGTTCAACCCCATAAACCTAGTCATGTTTTCTGTAGGTTCAACCCCATAAACCTAGTCATGTTTTCTGTAGGTTCAACCCCATAAACCTAGTCATGTTTTCTGTAGGTTCAACCCCATAAACCTAGTCATGTTTTCTGTAGGTTCAACCCCATAAACCTAGTCATGTTTTCTGTAGGTTCAACCCCATAAACCTTGTCATGTTTTCTGTAGGTTCAACCCCATAAACCTAGTCATGTTTTCTGTAGGTTCAACCCCATAAACCTAGTCATGTTTTCTGTAGGTTCAACCCCATAAACCTAGTCATGTTTTCTGTAGGTTCAACCCCATAAACCTAGTCATGTTTTCTGTAGGTTCAACCCCATAAACCTAGTCATGTTTTCTGTAGGTTCAACCCCATAAACCTAGTCATGTGTTCTGTAGGTTCAACCCCATAAACCTAGTCATGTTTTCTGTAGGTTCAACCCCATAAACCTAGTCATGTTTTCTGTAGGTTCAACCCCATAAACCTAGTCATGTTTTCTGTAGGTTCAACCCCATAAACCTAGTCATGTTTTCTGTAGGTTCAACCCCATAAACCTAGTCATGTTTTCTGTAGGTTCAACCCCATAAACCTAGTCATGTTTTCTGTAGGTTCGAGCCTTTGATCCAGACAGGGGAGAGAATGGCAAGGTGATCTATGCTATCGCCTCACCAGATCCCTCCAAAGATGGGCCTTTTGTTATAGATGCCAACACCGGTAACATTACAGTACAGAAGGACATTGTCAGGCCAGGAGAAGGCTACATTCAGGTAAAAAACTTACCACAGGTCCAGAGTTGATCTCATTTTCTTTCCAGACCAATATTAATGTCTGTGTACACCATCCATGTAATGTCTGTGTACACCATCCATGTAATGTCTGTGTACACCATCCATGTAATGTCTGTGTACACCATCCATGTAATGTCTGTGTACACCATCCATGTAATGTCTGTGTACACCATCCATGTAATGTCTGTGTACACCATCCATGTAATGTCTGTGTACACCATCCATGTAATGTCTGTGTACACCATCCATGTAATGTCTGTGTACACCATCCATGTAATGTCTACACCATCCATGTAATGTCTGTGTACACCATCCATGTAATGTCTGTGTACATCATCCATGTAATGTCTGTGTACACCATCCATGTAATGTCTGTGTACACCATCCATGTGATATCTGTGTACACTATCCATGTAATGTCTGTACACCATTCATGTAATGTCTGTGTACACCACCCATGCAATGTCTGTCTACACCATCCATGTAATGTCTGTACACCATCCATGTGATGTCTACACCATCCATGTAATGTCTGTGTACACCATCCATGTGATGTCTACACCATCCATGTAATGTCTGTGTACACCATCCATGTAATGTCTGTGTACACCATCCATGTAATGTCTGTACACCATCCATGTAATGTCTGTGTACACCATCTATGCAATGTCTGTGTACACCATCCATGTAATGTCTGTGTACACCATCCATGTAAAGTCTGTGTACACCATCCATGTGATGTCTGTCTATACCATCCATGTAATGTCTGTCTACACCATCCATGTAATGTCTGTGTACACCATCCATGTAATGTCTGTGTACACCGTCCATGTAATCAGTACACCATCCATGTAATGTCTACACCATCCATGTAATGTCTGTGTACACCATCCATGTAATGTCTGTCTACACCATCCATGTAATGTCTGTCTACACCATCCATGTAATGTCTGTCTACACCGTCCATGTAATCAGTACACCATCCATGTAATGTCTACACCATCCATGTAATGTCTGTGTACACCATCCATGTAATGTCTGTCTACACCATCCATGTGATGTCTACACCATCCATGTAATGTCTACACCATCCATGTAATGTCTGTGTACACCATCCATGTAATGTCTGTGTACACCATCCATGTAATGTCTGTCTACTCATGTCCTCAGGTGACTGTAGTGGGCAGGAACCCCAGCATAATTCCCATGGAAGGATGGTGCACATTTAAAGTCAACATTCAGGACATCAACGACAACCCTCCAAAGTTTACAGCTGACAATTATAAAATTGACATTTTAATAACAACCCCAGCAACCAGTGTAAGTCAACAAGCTAGACTGTGTCAATGTTGAGTGTAACAAGCTAGACTGTCAATGTTGTAGTGTAACAAACTAGACTGTGTCAATGTTGTAGTGTAACAAGCTAGACTGTCAATGTTGTAGTGTAACAAACTAGACTGTGTCAATGTTGTAGTGTAACAAGCTAGACTGTCAATGTTGTAGTGTAACAAACTAGACTGTGTCAATGTTGTAGTGTAACAAGCTAGACTGTGTCAATGTTGTAGTGTAACAAGCTAGACTGTGTCAATGTTGTAGTGTAACAAGCTAGACTGTCAATGTTGTAGTGTAACAAACTAGACTGTGTCAATGTTGTAGTGTAACAAGCTAGACTGTCAATGTTGTAGTGTAACAAATTAGACTGTGTCAATGTTGTAGTGTAACAAACTAGACTGTGTCAATGTTGTAGTGTAACAAGCTAGACTGTGTCAATGTTGTAGTGTAACAAACTAGACTGTGTCAATGTTGTAGTGTAACAAGCTAGACTGTGTCAATGTTGTAGTGTAACAAGCTAGACTGTGTCAATGTTGTAGTGTAACAAGCAGGACTGTCAATGTTGTGGTGGTACAAGCTAGACTGTGTCAATGTTGTAGTGTAACAAGCTAGACTGTGTCAATGTTGTAGTGTAACAAGCAGGACTGTCAATGTTGTGGTGGTACAAGCTAGACTGTGTCAATGTTGTAGTGTAACAAGCTAGACTGTGTCAATGTTGTAGTGTAACAAGCTAGACTGTGTCAATGTTGTAGTGTAACAAGCTAGACTGTCAATGTTGTGGTGGTACAAGCTAGACTGTGTCAATGTTGTAGTGTAACAAGCTAGACTGTGTCAATGTTGTAGTGTAACAAGCTAGACTGTCAATGTTGTGGTGGTACAAGCTAGATTGTGTCAATGTTGTAGTGTAACAAGCTAGACTGTGTCAATGTTGTAGTGTAACAAGCTAGACTGTGTCAATGTTGTAGTGTAACAAGCTAGACTGTCAATGTTGTGGTGGTACAAGCTAGACTGTCAATGTTGTAGTGTAACAAGCTAGACTGTGTCAATGTTGTAGTGTAACAAGCTAGACTGTGTCAATGTTGTAGTGTAACAAACTAGACTGTGTCAATGTTATAGTGTAACAAGCTAGACTGTGTCAATGTTGTAGTGTAACAAGCTAGACTGTGTCAATGTTGTAGTGTAACAAGCTAGACTGTCAATGTTGTGGTGGTACAAGCTAGACTGTGTCAATGTTGTAGTGTAACAAGCTAGACTGTGTCAATGTTGTAGTGTAACAAGCTAGACTGTCAATGTTGTGGTGGTACAAGCTAGATTGTGTCAATGTTGTAGTGTAACAAGCTAGACTGTGTCAATGTTGTAGTGTAACAAGCTAGACTGTGTCAATGTTGTAGTGTAACAAGCTAGACTGTCAATGTTGTGGTGGTACAAGCTAGACTGTCAATGTTGTAGTGTAACAAGCTAGACTGTGTCAATGTTGTAGTGTAACAAGCTAGACTGTGTCAATGTTGTAGTGTAACAAACTAGACTGTGTCAATGTTATAGTGTAACAAGCTAGACTGTGTCAATGTTGTAGTGTAACAAACTAGACTGTGTCAATGTTGTAGTGTAACAAGCTAGACTGTCAATGTTGTAGTGTAACAAATTAGACTGTGTCAATGTTGTAGTGTAACAAACTAGACTGTGTCAATGTTGTAGTGTAACAAGCTAGACTGTGTCAATGTTGTAGTGTAACAAACTAGACTGTGTCAATGTTGTAGTGTAACAAGCTAGACTGTGTCAATGTTGTAGTGTAACAAGCTAGACTGTGTCAATGTTGTAGTGTAACAAGCAGGACTGTCAATGTTGTGGTGGTACAAGCTAGACTGTGTCAATGTTGTAGTGTAACAAGCTAGACTGTGTCAATGTTGTAGTGTAACAAGCAGGACTGTCAATGTTGTGGTGGTACAAGCTAGACTGTGTCAATGTTGTAGTGTAACAAGCTAGACTGTGTCAATGTTGTAGTGTAACAAGCTAGACTGTGTCAATGTTGTAGTGTAACAAGCTAGACTGTCAATGTTGTGGTGGTACAAGCTAGACTGTGTCAATGTTGTAGTGTAACAAGCTAGACTGTGTCAATGTTGTAGTGTAACAAGCTAGACTGTCAATGTTGTGGTGGTACAAGCTAGATTGTGTCAATGTTGTAGTGTAACAAGCTAGACTGTGTCAATGTTGTAGTGTAACAAGCTAGACTGTGTCAATGTTGTAGTGTAACAAGCTAGACTGTCAATGTTGTGGTGGTACAAGCTAGACTGTCAATGTTGTAGTGTAACAAGCTAGACTGTGTCAATGTTGTAGTGTAACAAGCTAGACTGTGTCAATGTTGTAGTGTAACAAACTAGACTGTGTCAATGTTATAGTGTAACAAGCTAGACTGTGTCAATGTTGTAGTGTAACAAGCTAGACTGTGTCAATGTTGTAGTGTAACAAGCTAGACTGTGTCAATGTTGTAGTGTAACAAGCTAGACTGTGTCAATGTTGTAGTGTAACAAGCTAGACTGTGTTAATGTTGTTTGCTTTGAATATTTAACAGATTGCTTTATTGTTCAACAGTTAGAGCTATGTATAGACTGCCCACATTAACCACACATATCATTCAACAGCCATTTTGTTCTGGCTTGTAACAACCAGTCAACCTATAGATTTCTTTATCTGTTAGATTTGTTTTTGTTCAAGCCTAAAGCTACCAATCAAATTTTATTGGTTCAAACCTAAAACTACCAATCAAATTTCTTTGTTCAAACCTAAAGCTACCAATCAAATTTTATTGGTTCAAACCTTAAGCTACCAATCAAATGTTTTTCTAGTTGAACTCTAAAGTTCACTTTAAAAGAAGCTACCAATAAAAAGTTTACAGTTAGAACTCTAAAGTTGACCTAAATTAGGCGACCAATCCAATGTCTTTCTGTAGGCCATCCGCCAGATGGTGGCAACAGATGCTGACGTGGGACCCAATGCCAACATCACCTACTCATTCTACAACAGATCAAATTACTTCTCCATCAACAGTCAGACAGGTGTCATCCAGCTCACCCAGTCCCTCACTAATTTAGGACAGGTAAACTTTTGGACAGGAAAATATTTTAAATTTACCTTCAGTCATCAATCACCAGTTTCAATCAAACAGGTGTTCTAGTTATAATCACAAGTCAAATTATTTGATCGTTCACCACAGAAGTTATTTTCAATTATTTAACTTGACTGTGTTACTTTCATTGTGTGGATCTGTTGTTTATTGTGTAGAGAACACATAGTAAGTCATGACTAAATGGGTTAATGTAACTTTTGAGGGCTGTAAGGGTTTATGAGTCAATGGCTCCTGTTGTCATCTGTACCTGTTGTATCTACAGGCAACTACCTTTACGTTGTTTGTGGTAGCCAATGACAACGGCATTGACCCTGGTCCACTCACAGGAAATACTACGGTCACCATCGCAGTCAACACAGCTAATAGGACATCTCCAGTGTAAGACTCGTGTCTCATAATACAGGCAGTGTCACATGATACAGGCAGTGTCACATGATACAGGCAGTGTCACATGATACAGGCAGTGTCACATGATACAGTGTCACATGATACAGGCAGTGTCACATGATACAGGCAGTGTCACATGATACAGGCAGTGTCACATGATACAGGCAGTGTCACATGATACAGGCAGTGTCACATGATACAGGCAGTGTCACATGATACAGGCAGTGTCACATGATACAGGCAGTGTCACATGATACAGGCAGTGTCACATGATACAGGCAGTGTCACATGATACAGGCAGTGTCACATGATACAGGCAGTGTCACATGATACAGGCAGTGTCACATGATACAGTGTCACATGATACAGGCAGTGTCACATGATACAGGCAGTGTCACATGATACAGGCAGTGTCACATGATACAGGCATTGTCACATGATACAGTGTCACATGATACAGGCAGTGTCACATGATACAGTGTCACATGATACAGGCAGTGTCACATGATACAGTGTCACATGATACAGTCAGTGTCACATGATACAGGCAGTGTCACATGATACAGGCAGTGTCACATGATACAGTGTCACATGATACAGTGTCACATGATACAGGCAGTGTCACATGATACAGGCAGTGTCACATGATACAGTGTCACATGATACAGGCAGTGTCACATGATACAGGCAGTGTCACATGATACAGGCAGTGTCACATGATACAGGCAGTGTCACATGATACAGGCAGTGTCACATGATACAGGCATTGTCACATGATACAGGCAGTGTCACATGATACAGGCAGTGTCACATGATACAGGCAGTGTCACATGATACAGGCAGTGTCACATGATACAGGCAGTGTCACATGATACAGGCAGTGTCACATGATACAGGCAGTGTCACATGATACAGGCAGTGTCACATGATACAGTGTCACATGATACAGGCAGTGTCACATGATACAGGCAGTGTCACATGATACAGGCAGTGTCACATGATACAGTGTCACATGATACAGTGTCACATGATACAGGCAGTGTCACATGATACAGTGTCACATGATACAGGCAGTGTCACATGATACAGTGTCACATGATACAGGCAGTGTCACATGATACAGGCAGTGTCACATGATACAGGCAGTGTCACATGATACAGGCAGTGTCACATGATACAGGCAGTGTCACATGATACAGTGTCACATGATACAGGCAGTGTCACATGATACAGGCAGTGTCACATGATACAGGCAGTGTCACATGATACAGGCAGTGTCACATGATACAGTGTCACATGATACAGGCAGTGTCACATGATACAGGCAGTGTCACATGATACAGTGTCACATGATACAGGCAGTGTCACATGATACAGGCAGTGTCACATGATACAGTGTCACATGATACAGGCAGTGTCACATGATACAGGCAGTGTCACAAGATTTTGTCTGTAATGAGCAAAACTCATCAACAAAAAATTTATAAAGAAATATTTTTAAACTTTAAAGGCTAATTCTTAATGAGTTAAAGAACTATAATTCTCCATTATTAGATTTAAAAATTATCAATATGATCTAGGACTATGGATACAGTAATTAAAAAATTAAAATAAAGATAGAATCTAGATTGGCTGTATAAAAGACAAATACTGTTGATAATTTTGCTAAATGAGGGCTTATTACTTTTGAAGATGGCAGAACCTTCCATCAACACTTGAGTTCAACGTTATTGAAAGTGCCAGCTATGGGTATGTGATAGCAACATTTAGGTGCCAGTCCAACGCTGCCAACCCTAAAGTAGAGTTCCTGGTCTATGAGTCAATAGATCAGACCTCCATCACATTTGTCCCCACACCCTTGAACGACACTGCTATGAATTTGACACTAAGCAACAGATTGGACTACCTGGTACAGAAACAGTACAGGCTGACAGTTGCTTGCCAGGTGAGGTTGTTACATCACCACACCTGTGTGTTACATCACCACACCTGTGTGTTACATCACCACACCTGTGTTACATCACCACACCTGTGTGTTACATCACCACACCTGTGTGTTACATCACCACACCTGTGTGTTACATCACCACACCTGTGTGTTACATCACCACACCTGTGTGTTACATCACCACACCTGTGTGTTACATCACCACACCTGTGTGTTACATCACCACACCTGTGTGTTACATCACCACACCTGTGTGTTACATCACCACACCTGTGTTACATCACCACACCTGTGTGTTACATCACCACACCTGTGTTACATCACCACACCTGTGTGTTACATCACCACACCTGTGTGTTACATCACCACACCTGTGTGTTACATCACCACACCTGTGTGTTACATCACCACACCTGTGTGTTACATCACCACATCTGTGTGTTACATCACCACACCTGTGTGTTACATCACTACACCTGTGTGTTACATCACCACACCTGTGTGTTACATCACCACACCTGTGTTACATCACTTCACCTGTGTGTTACATCACTTCACCTGTGTGTTACATCACCACACCTGTGTGTTACATCACCACATCTGTGTGTTACATCACCACACCTGTGCATGATTAAAAATATCTTATTATTAAAACTTTTTATTATTTAAGAATTGCTTGACTAAAAAACTAGCACACTAATTGATTGTCTTGATAGTGTGATAAAATTAGTATTTTATATTAGAAACATAAATTAATTCTTAAAAAACAATGAAGCATCTTAGTCAAATGTCCAGTTTGACCAATTTGCCAAGTTAAAAAGAATTGGGTCCTGTAGAAGTGATAAAAAAGTGGTAATGAGAGTAGAAGTGATAAAAAAGTGGTAATGAGAGTAGAAGTGATAAAAAAGTGGTAATGAGAGTAGAAGTGATAAAAAAGTGGTAATGAGAGTAGAAGTGATAAAAAAGTGGTAATGAGTAGAAGTGATAAAAAAGTGGTAATGAGAGTAGAAGTGATAAAAAAGTGGTAATGAGAGTAGAAGTGATAAAAAAGTGGTAATGAGTAGAAGTGATAAAAAAGTGGTAATGAGAGTAGAAGTGATAAAAAAGTGGTAATGAGAGTAGAAGTGATAAAAAAGTGGTAATGAGAGTAGGAGTGATAAAAAAGTGGTAATGAGAGTAGAAGTGATAAAAAAGTGGTAATGAGAGTAGAAGTGATAAAAAAGTGGTAATGAGAGTAGAAGTGATAAAAAAGTGGTAATGAGAATTTATGTTTTCAGACCCTGGATGGTTTCCTGTTGCGCACTGACATCAACCCAGTTATCAACATCATCGATGCTAACAACCAGAAACCCACCTTCCAAGGTTTAGGCAGCAATGACCGGTATGTAGGGACCGTGCCAGAAAATGCTTTGCCAGGAGCTCTGGTCATCCAGGTCTCAGCTGATGACAGGGATGAAACACTACTTTTTAGAACTGTGAGAACTTTTTCTGTACAATGTGGTTAAATTGTCTGTGTGTTGTGTTGTCTGTGTGTTGTGTTGTCTGTGTGTTGTGTTGTCTGTGTGTTGTGTTGTCTGCGTGTTGTGTTGTCTGTGTGTTGTGTTGTGGTGTTGTCTGTGTGGTGTGTTGTGAATTGATTGGTTTGTGATGTTTGCTTTAAAAATAATTTGAAATTAATTGATTGGCTTGTGATGATTGCTTTAAAAATGGTTTGAAATGAATTGATTGGCTTGTGATGATTGCTTTAAAAATGGTTTGAAATGAATTGATTGGCTTGTGATGATTGCTTTAAAAATGGTTTGAAATGAATTGATTGGCTTGTGATGATTGCTTTAAAAATGGTTTGAAATGAATTGATTGGCTTGTGATGATTGCTTTAAAAATGATTTGAAATGAATTGATTGGCTTGTGATGATTGCTTTAAAAATGATTTGAAATGAATTGATTGGCTTGTGATGATTGCTTTAAAAATGGTTTGAAATGAATTGATTGGCTTGTGATGATTGCTTTAAAAATGGTTTGAAATGAATTGATTGGCTTGTGATGATTGCTTTAAAAATGATTTGAAATGAATTGATTGGCTTGTGATGATTGCTTTAAAAATGATTTGAATTGCAGGTGACATTTGTTTTTCTGGACAATGAGACTTTCTTTGACATCCAACCTGCTGGCATGAATCGAGCTGAGGTGAAAACTAAGGTTACATTTGATAGAGAACTAAGGGACAGCTTTTCTGTTGGGGTCAAGGCCAGTGATGGCGCACCTGCAGCTTATCCTGCTGGCAGCACTGAACCTAATTCAGGTAAAGTCCCATAGTCAGAGCACACCTGGTCAGTAGCACACCTGGTCAGTTAGAGGCACATAAAGTAAAATAAATTGTGTGCCTTATCCCTTCCTTAATGATTTTCCAGAATCTCTGCTGTGACATTTGGTTTGAACCCACTGGAAACATTTGATTTTGTAATTTCAGTTGTGCGTTACATAGACGTGACAATATTAGATGTCAATGACAACCCGCCATATTTTGATCAGCTAAATTACACATGCAGCATCTCAGAGGCGGCCAATGTTAATGATCGTGTTTGTAATGTCGTAGCCTTGGACGTGGACACAAGTAAGTTTCTCTTTCGCTCTCTCTCTCTCTCTCTTTTTCTCTCTCTCTCTTTCTCTGTGTGTGTGTGTGTGGGGGGGGGTGTGTGGATGTGCATGTGTGTGTGTGTTTGATGTACTGCCCCCAACTAAGAAATTGGAAACCTTTTCCAATGATCTCTTTTTTTTTCTAATTTACTAAATTTAAAGCAAAGAGTCAAACTTATATTTAAGTGTTGCTGAATGGTAGAGCACTTGACTTCTAACCCCAAGGTATCAAGTTTGGTTCCCTGGATGCAGTCTTTGTATTCTGATGGGTACTTGACATTAGGGAAAGTAGAGGTGGCTGGGCATAGTGCTGACCACACTCTCCCTTCATATGCCTCCTGGTTCTAAATTAAACATTCTATCATTTTTTCAGTTAACGTTGGCTAATTGACCTATTGTTCTATCTTTTTTACTTTTTCTGATACAAAGTATAGAGAAAGTATTGAAATCGTGCAAAAATCTAAATCGAGATTTTCATAAATCTCGACATTTTAGACCACCCTGAGTCGGAAAAACTTAGTTTTGCAATTTTGTCCTTATGTCTGTCTGTGTGTCCGTAAACACGATAACTTCATAGATAAGTATCATATCAGCTTTTGAGCAATTTCCAGTCACAGGAAGTGATACTTTTGGGTTATGAAAAGCCAATAACTTGAGTACCATTTAAGTTAGGTGGACAAATAGGCACATATAAATATGACATTGTATGTGCATGTTTCTATCAAATTTTTTGCAAAATTAAGTTGCGCTTTCCATGTAAAACGATAATTTGAGTACTATTTCAGTTAGGTTAACCAAATTTCATATATAAGTATAAGATATTATACTTGGGTTACTTTTAATTTTCACTTGACCTCTGATAACTGGAAGTTGTACTTTACTGTATTTCCAGTTTCTAAAATACTGGTTATTTGAGTACCATTTAAATTAGGTGAAGAAAATTCTATTCCTAGGTAAAATATCTTTTCTTGAATTTTCCAAATTTTGGAATTTTTCCAATTTCTCAAAAAAATATCACTTCTACTAGACTGATTTGTTTCAAACTGTTCATGTAGATCAAGACTCAATTACAACACTCTGTGTCATAAAATGTGACTTAATTAAATATTTAATTAACTTGTCAAAAATTAATTAAAGTATCTTTATAAAGTACTAATTTTCCGCTCTATTTCGCACACATTATTTACATTCATTTAGTGCGCAATTCCATTTTCTACTTGACTGTTCTATTTTTTTTAAAAATGTAAATACAAAAAAAATTAATAAACAACATTTCTATTGCCTGAACCTACTGTAAGTGCCACCCCTCTTACTGTATTAGAATATAGAAAGTTTAGGGGAGATCACTCAAGCGTTATTTCAGTTGATGTTTGCAAATTGACCTATAATTTTTTTTCAGTTGATGCTGGAAAATTGACCTACCGTTTCAACTCTGGAAATGTGAACAATGCATTCTCCATCACTTCTATGATTGGGGAAATCAGAGTAGCCAGAAAACTGGACTATGAAAATCCAACTGAACCAAAGGTATAGTTTACATCCATTGTTAGGTGAACAAAAGGTATAGTTTACATCCATTGTTAGGTGAACCAAAGGTATAGTTTACATCCATTGTTAGGTGAACCAAAGGTATAGTTTACATCCATTGTTAGGTGAACCAAAGGTATAGTTTACATCCATTGTTAGGTGAACCAAAGGTATAGTTTACATCCATTGTTAGGTGAACAAAAGGTATAGTTTACATCCATTGTTAGGTGAACCAAAGGTATAGTTTACATCCATTGTTAGGTGAACCAAAGGTATAGTTTACATCCATTGTTAGGTGAACAAAAGGTATAGTTTACAACCATTGTTAGATGAACAAAAGGTATAGTTTACAACCATTGTTAGATGAACAATAGGTAGATATGATCTACAGTAATGGCCAATTTTGTTTAATGGCAATCTTGTGAACTCTTTTGTAGTACAACACATATTTTTATACTGCTAATTTTTTTCTCTAGGTTTATGGCATGCAGCTTCTGGCCATTGACTCAGATAGTCTGCACACTGCCACCACCTCAGTCTACATCTCCGTACTAGACGCCAATGACAACTCACCTGAGTTTAGCATGAGCAGGTATGTGTCCGTCAATCAGGTACAAGAGGAGGACACAAACAACTCACCTGACCGTCCATTCTTCTTGCTGCAGGTTTGTTAACATCTCATCTTTTTAGACCTAGGCCACTATTGGCTCACCTAGGCCCCTGTTGGCTCACTTAGGCCCCTGTTGGCTCACCTAGGCCACTGTTGGCTCACTTAGGCCCCTGTTGGCTCACCTAGGCCACTGTTGGCTCACCTAGGCCCCTGTTGGCTCACCTAGGCCCCTGTTGGCTCACCTAGGCCACTGTTGGCTCACTTAGGCCACTGTTGGCTCACTTAGGCCCCTGTTGGCTCACCTAGGCCACTGTTGGCTCACCTAGGCCCCTGTTGGCTCACTTAGGCCACTGATGGCTCACCTAGGCCACTGTTGGCTCACTTAGGCCACTGTTGGCTCACCTAGGCCACTGATGGCTCACCTAGGCCACTGTTGGCTCACTTAGGCCACTGTTGGCTCACTTAGGCCCCTGTTGGCTCACTTAGGCCCCTGTTGGCTCACCTAGGCTACTGTTGGCTCACTTAGGCCACTGTTGGCTACAACAAAAATGAATAAATCTAATAAAAAAATAACAGGGGAGGAAGAGAAATATGATTGTTTTCCTTTGGCATTCATTTTGTAATGCAAGAATACTTACAGTATGTTACTATTTTAAATGTCAGCAGATTGGGACAGCTTTATTTTATAAATTGTCTGAGACAAAGTAGCATCAGCTTTATATTTTGTATGTGACAGCAACAGACAAAGTAGCATCAGCTTTATATTTTGTAGGTGACAGCAACAGACAAAGTAGCATCAGCTTTATATTTTGTAGGTGACAGCAACAGACAAAGTAGCATCAGCTTTATATTTTGTAGGTGACAGCAACAGACAAAGTAGCATCAGCTTTATATTTTGTAGGTGACAGCAACAGACAAAGTAGCATCAGCTTTATATTTTGTAGGTGACAGCAACAGACAAAGTAGCATCAGCTTTATATTTTGTAGGTGACAGCAACAGACAAAGTAGCATCAGCTTTATATTTTGTAGGTGACAGCAACAGACAAAGTAGCATCAGCTTTATATTTTGTAGGTGACAGCAACAGACAAAGTAGCTTCAGCTTTATATTTTGTAGGTGACAGCAACAGACAAAGTAGCATCAGCTTTATATTTTGTAGGTGACAGCAACAGACAAAGTAGCATCAGCTTTATATTTTGTAGGTGACAGCAACAGACAAAGTAGCATCAGCTTTATATTTTGTAGGTGACAGCAACAGACAAAGTAGCATCAGCTTTATATTTTGTAGGTGACAGCAACAGACAAAGTAGCATGAGCTTATATTTTGTAGGTGACAGCAACAGACAAAGTAGCATCAGCTTTATATTTTGTAGGTGACAGCAACAGACAAAGTAGCATCAGCTTTATATTTTGTAGGTGACAGCAACAGACAAAGATGTCGCCCGTCCTGAAACTTTAATACGTTACTACCTGATGGGAGATGTCGTCAATTTTACCATCGAAGCTGAGACAGGAAAAGTTTTCCTGATTGGTTCCCTGGACAGAGACCGTGGCAACCCAAACTACACCTTCACTGTTAGAGCTGAGGATGAGAGGGTTAATCCTAACTATGGCTACGCTGAGATTGTTGTCAGTCCTATGGACATCAATGACAACAGCCCTGAATTTGTTGAGGCTTACCTCATTGGCAACATTCAAGAAAATTCACCACCTGGAAGTAAGTGATGTTTGAAATAATAATGAAAGAACTCTATAAGCAGTGCTGAAAAGCTACTTTTGTATGTCCAGCTGTTGTACTGTGTCCAGCTGTTGTACTGTGCTGTGTCCAGCTGTTGTACTGTGTCCAGCTGCTGTACTGTGCTGTGTCCAGCTGTTGTACTGTGCTGTGTCCAGCTGCTGTACTGTGTCCAGCTGTTGTACTGTGCTGTGTCCAGCTGCTGTACTGTGTCCAGCTGTTGTACTGTGTCCAGCTGTTGTACTGTGCTGTGTCCAGCTGCTGTACTGTGTCCAGCTGTTGTACTGTGCTGTGTCCAGCTGTTGTACTGTACTGTGTCCAGCTGTTGTACTGTGCTGTGTCCAGCTGTTGTACTGTGCTGTGTCCAGCGTCCAGCTGCTGTACTGTGTCCAGCTGTTGTACTGTGCTGTGTCCAGCTGTTGTACTGTGCTGTGTCCAGCTGCTGTACTGTGTCCAGCTGCTGTACTGTGTCCAGCTGTTGTACTGTGCTGTGTCCAGCTGTTGTACTGTGTCCAGCTGTTGTACTGTGTCCAGCTGTTGTACTGTGCTGTGTCCAGCGTCCAGCTGCTGTACTGTGTCCAGCTGTTGTACTGTGCTGTGTCCAGCTGTTGTACTGTGCTGTGTCCAGCTGCTGTACTGTGTCCAGCTGCTGTACTGTGTCCAGCTGTTGTACTGTGCTGTGTCCAGCTGCTGTACTGTGCTGTGTCCAGCTGTTGTACTGTGCTGTGTCCAGCTGTTGTACTGTGCTGTGTCCAGCTGTTGTACTGTGCTGTGTCCAGCTGTTGTACTGTGTCCAGCTGCTGTACTGTGCTGTGTCCAGCTGCTGTACTGTGCTGTGTCCAGCTGTTGTACTGTGTCCAGCTGTTGTACTGTACTGTGTCCAGCTGTTGTACTGTGCTGTGTCCAGCTGTTGTACTGTGTCCAGCTGTTGTACTGTGTCCAGCTTTTGTACTGTATCCAGCTGTTGTACTGTGTCCAGCTGTTGTACTGTGCTGTGTCCAGCTGCTGACTGTGCTGTGTCCAGCTGTTGTACTGTGTCCAGCTTTTGTACTGTATCCAGCTGTTGTACTGTGTCCAGCTGCTGTACTGTGTCCAGCTGTTGTACTGTGCTGTGTCCAGCTGCTGTACTGTGCTGTGTCCAGCTGTTGTACTGTGCTGTGTCCAGCTGTTGTACTGTGCTGTGTCCAGCTGTTGTACTGTGCTGTGTCCAGCTGTTGTACTGTGTCCAGCTGCTGTACTGTGCTGTGTCCAGCTGTTGTACTGTGCTGTGTCCAGCTGTTGTGCTGTGTCCAGCTGTTGAACTGTGTCCAGCTGCTATACTGTGCTGTGTCCAGCTGTTGTACTGTGTCCAGCTGCTGTACTGTGCTGTGTCCAGCTGCTGTACTGTGCTGTGTCCAGCTGTTGTACTGTGCTGTGTCCAGCTGTTGTACTGTACTGTGTCCAGCTGCTGTACTGTGTCCAGCTGTTGTACTGTGCTGTGTCCAGCTGTTGTACTGTGCTGTGTCCAGCTGTTGTACTGTGTCCAGCTGCTGTACTGTGCTGTGTCCAGCTGCTGTACTGTGCTGTGTCCAGCTGTTGTACTGTGTCCAGCTGTTTACTGTGTCCAGCTGTTGTACTGTGCTGTGTCCAGCTGCTGACTGTGCTGTGTCCAGCTGTTGTACTGTGTCCAGCTTTTGTACTGTATCCAGCTGTTGTACTGTGTCCAGCTGTTGTACTGTGTCCAGCTGTTGTACTGTGTCCATCTGTTGTACTGTGTCCAGCTGCTGACTGTGCTGTGTCCAGCTGTTGTACTGTGCTGTGTCCAGCTGCTGTACTGTGCTGTGTCCAGCTGTTGTACTGTGTCCAGCTGCTGACTGTGCTGTGTCCAGCTGTTGTACTGTGTCCAGCTGCTGACTGTGCTGTGTCCAGCTGTTGTACTGTGTCCAGCTGTTGTAGTGTGCTGTGTCCAGCTGCTGTACTGTGTCCAGCTGCTGTACTGTGTCCAGCTGTTGTACTGTGTCCAGCTGTTGTACTGTGTCCAGCTGTTGTACTGTGTCCAGCTGTTGTACTGTGTCCAGCTGTTGTACTGTGCTGTGTCCAGCTGTTGTACTGTGTCCAGCTGCTGACTGTGCTGTGTCCAGCTGTTGTACTGTGCTGTGTCCAGCTGTTGTACTGTGTCCAGCTGCTGACTGTGCTGTGTCCAGCTGTTGTACTGTGCTGTGTCCAGCTGTTGTACTGTGTCCAGCTGCTGACTGTGCTGTGTCCAGCTGCTGTACTGTGCTGTGTCCAGCTGCTGTACTGTGCTGTGTCCAGCTGTTGTACTGTGTCCAGCTGTTGTACTGTGTCCAGCTGCTGACTGTGCTGTGTCCAGCTGCTGTACTGTGCTGTGTCCAGCTGCTGACTGTGCTGTGTCCAGCTGTTGTACTGTGTCCAGCTGCTGACTGTGCTGTGTCCAGCTGTTGTACTGTGTCCAGCTGTTGTAGTGTGCTGTGTCCAGCTGCTGTACTGTGTCCAGCTGCTGTACTGTGTCCAGCTGTTGTACTGTGTCCAGCTGTTGTACTGTGTCCAGCTGTTGTACTGTGTCCAGCTGTTGTACTGTGTCCAGCTGTTGTACTGTGCTGTGTCCAGCTGTTGTACTGTGTCCAGCTGTTGTACTGTGCTGTGTCCAGCTGTTGTACTGTGCTGTGTCCAGCTGTTGTACTGTGTCCAGCTGCTGACTGTGCTGTGTCCAGCTGTTGTACTGTGCTGTGTCCAGCTGCTGACTGTGCTGTGTCCAGCTGCTGTACTGTGCTGTGTCCAGCTGTTGTACTGTGTCCAGCTGTTGTACTGTGTCCAGCTGCTGACTGTGCTGTGTCCAGCTGCTGTACTGTGCTGTGTCCAGCTGTTGTACTGTGTCCAGCTGCTGACTGTGCTGTGTCCAGCTGCTGTACTGTGCTGTGTCCAGCTGCTGACTGTGCTGTGTCCAGCTGTTGTACTGTGTCCAGCTGTTGTACTGTGTCCAGCTGCTGTACTGTGCTGTGTCCAGCTGCTGACTGTGCTGTGTCCAGCTGTTGTACTGTGTCCAGCTGTTGTACTGTGTCCAGCTGTTGTACTGTGTACAGCTGCTGTACTGTGTCCAGCTGCTGTACTGTGCTGTGTCCAGCTGTTGTACTGTGTCCAGCTGTTGTACTGTGTCCAGCTGTTGTACTGTGTCCAGCTGCTGACTGTACTGTGTCCAGCTGTTGTACTGTGCTGTGTACAGCTGCTGTACTGTGTCCAGCTGCTGTACTGTGTCCAGCTGTTGTACTGTGCTGTGTACAGCTGCTGTACTGTGTCCAGCTGCTGTACTGTGTCCAGCTGCTGACTGTGCTGTGTCCAGCTGTTGTACTGTGTCCAGCTGTTGTACTGTGTCCAGCTGTTGTACTGTGCTGTGTCCAGCTGTTGTACTGTGCTGTGTCCAGCTGCTGTACTGTGTCCAGCTGCTGTACTGTGCTGTGTCCAGCTGCTGTACTGTGCTGTGTCCAGCTGCTGTACTGTGTCCAGCTGCTGTACTGTGCTCTCTTTCTTGTCCAGCCCTGGCCTTGACTGTGTTGGCCAGAGACCCAGATGCAGGAGAAAATGGCACAGTGAGCTACCAAAAGTACGCCCAACAGAACTCCAGCATTAGCTCCTTGTTCAACATCAGCAGCTCAGGCCAGATCGTAACAGCAGGACCCCCCCAGCTCTATGACAGGGAAGAGAATGACTTTTTCAAGCTCATTGTGGAGGCCTATGATGGGGGCAGGCCTTCACGTACTGCCACGGCGACTGTCACCATCAACTTGATAGACGTCAATGATCAGGCACCTTACTTTGAGAAGCCCTTGTACAGGTAGGTTCACAGTTCACACAAGTCTTTGATGTGCATCACATACAGGTAACACAGGTGCATCACATACAGGTAAGCAGTGCATCCCAACAGGTGTAACAGTTTTATATGACTAACCTATTCCACAGTGCCACCATGTCCGAGGCTCTCAAGGCTGGCTCAGTTCTGGTCGTACCAGCCATTGATAAGGACAAGGACCCCAGCAACAGGCAGCTGACTTTTTCTATTGTGGGGAGTAACAGGTTTTTCATGGTGACCACATCTGGACAGAGTGCCAACATTCAGCTGGCCAATGTAGGTATCTCTCACATGGGCAGGCTGACATAAGTTGACCAGTTGACAGAAGTTGACCAGCTGACAGAAGTTGACCAGCTGACAGAAATTGACCAGCTGACATAAGTTGACCAGTTGACATAAGTTGACCAGTTGACAGAAGTTGACCAGCTGACAGAAGTTGACCAGCTGACATAAGCTGACCAGCTGACAGAAGTTTACCAGTTGACAGAAATTGACCAGCTGACAGAAGTTGACTAGCTGACCAGCTGACAGAAGTTGACCAGTTGACATATGCTGACCAGCTGACAGAAGTTGACCAGCTGACAGAAATTGACCAGCTGACAGAAGTTGACCAGTTGACATATGCTGACCAGCTGACAGAAGTTGACCAGCTGACAGAAATTGACCAGCTGACAGAAGTTGACCAGCTGACAGAAGTTGACCAGCTGACAGAACTGACAGAAGTTGACCAGCTGACATAAGTTGACCAGCTGACAGAAGTTGACCAGTTGACAGAAATTGACCAGTTGACATATGCTGACCAGCTGACAGAAGTTGACCAGCTGACAGAAGTTGACCAGTTGACATATGCTGACCAGTTGACATATGCTGACCAGCTGACAGAAATTTACCAGCTGACAGAAATTTACCAGCTGACAGAAATTGACCAGCTGACAGAAGTTGACTAGCTGACCAGCTGACAGAAGTTGACCAGCTACATAATGTGTTGTCTCTCCTCAGCCTGTGGACTATGAAAGTGACCCTCACAGTTTTACCTTCACCCTGACAGTGACTGATGGAATGGCTGGCCACCAGAACTCCACCCAGATCCAGATCAACGTTACAGATTACAACGACAACGCCCCACAGTTTAATGGCACTGACCAAAGTATTACCCTGGTGGAGGAGGAGAACCCAGGCAAAGCCATTGCCACTTTTTTTGCTACAGATGCAGACTCTGGGATCAATGCCCAGTTTGAGTAGGCCAACTTCTACACAATGTTTTTTTTTACTCTAATAAAAGGGCTAGTTCTGATTGTATTGCCAAGTTAGCCGAAATGCTTATTTCTAAACCTAATGTTTGTCTTTCGTAATTGAAACATCTGGTTATAACTTAGGCTTGATGAAAATAAATAGAAATGTAGCCTTAAACTTAACAAATTATTTTTAAGTTTTAAGTTTAAATGTTTAGAAAAACTAATTGTATCCATGTCAACAACATGATAGAAGGATTCTCTTCAACTCAGTGGCCTCCATCAAAAAAATTATTTAAATTTTAAAATTATAAAAAAAAATTCTATGATAGCTGCCATCACGATGGCAGTGGTAGGAAATTTTTAGACTTTACTCTGAGTTATAACAAAATACTACATATGATAGCATTAGGTATATAAATAAGCATTTTGTCTAATTTGGTATTCATCACCCGCCCATGCCCTTAAAAGGCTAGTTCTGATTGTATTTCCATGAGTAAATACCCACTTGTACCAGTGTATCCATTCATCAACAGGTATTCCATAGTGCGCAGCTCAGACCCCAGGTATGAGTTTTACATTGACCCCAGCTCTGGAGTTGTGTACACAAGGAAGAGATTGGACAGAGAGGTGGCCCCCTTCATGGATTTGGTCATTATGGCCAAGGATAAAGGTCAGTTTCACACAGTGGCCCACAAGCTGGGGTCAGTGGCCCACAGGCTGGGGTCAGTGGCCCACAAGCTGGGGTCAGTGGCCCACATGCTGGGGTCAGTGGCCCACATGCTGGGGTCAGTGGTCCACAAGCTGAGGTCAGTGGCCCACATGCTGGGGTCAGTGGCCCACATGCTGGGGTCAGTTGCCCACATGCTGGGGTCAGTGGCCCACAAGCTGGGGTCAGTGGCCCACAAGCTGGGGTCAGTGGCTCACAAGCTGCGGTCAGTGGTCCACAAGCTGAGGTCAGTGGCCCACATGCTGGGGTCAGTGGCCCACATGCTGGGGTCAGTTGCCCACATGCTGGGGTCAGTTGCCCACATGCTGGGGTCAGTGGCCCACAAGCTGGGGTCAGTGGCCCACAAGCTGGGGTCAGTGGCCCACAAGCTGGGGTCAGTGGTCCACAAGCTGAGGTCAGTGGCCCACATGCTGGGGTCAGTTGCCCACATGCTGGGGTCAGTTGCCCACATGCTGGGGTCAGTTGCCCACATGCTGGGGTCAGTGGCCCACATGCTGGGGTCAGTTGCCCACATGCTGGGGTCAGTGGCCCACAAGCTGGGGTCAGTGGCCCACAGGCTGGGGTCAGTGGCCCACAGGCTGGGGTCAGTGTGATGTAACACTTTCCCAGCATTGATTCTATCCAAACAAGTTGTACCTGTATTGTGTGTATGTTGCAGATGAGATTCCAACCTGTATTGTGTGTATGTTGCAGGTGAGATTCCAACTTGTATTGTGTGTATGTTGCAGATGAGATTCCAACTTGTATTGTGTGTATGTTGCAGGTGAGATTCCAACTTGTATTGTGTGTATGTTGCAGGTGAGATTCCAACTTGTATTGTGTGTATGTTGCAGGTGAGATTCCACTGAACAGCACAATAAAGCTGAAGGTGACTCTAATAGACATCAATGACAACGCCCCATCCTTTGCAAAAGACTACCAGCCCCAGGTGACAGAGAATGAAAACCTCTCCAACAAGCTGGTGGTGGAGATTTTTGCTTTCGACCCTGACACGGAGGCATATGGTCCTCCATTTGGCTTCAGTGAGATGTGTTCTGTGCCGGCTTGCTCCAAGTTTAGTATCAAGTTTAACCCAGGTGGGTAGTTGGTACAGTGTCTTAGGTGTTGTACCCAGGTGGGTAGTTGGTACATTGTCTTAGGTCTTGTACCTAGGTGGGTAGTTGGTACAGTGTCTTAGGTTCATTTGAGCTACACAAACATTGAGTGAACCACTGAGCTACACAAACATTGAGTGAACCACTGAGCTACACAAACATTGAGTGAACCACTGAGCTACACAAACATTGAGTGAACCACTGAGCTACACAAACATTGAGTGAACAACTGAGCTACACAAACATTGAGTGAACCACTGAGCTACACAAACATTGAGTGAACCACTGAGCTACACAAACATTGAGTGAACCACTGAGCCTGACTTGTCCTATGTTTCTTTCAGCCAATGACAATGGTCGGGGTACAGCATCAATCTTCACAAGCAGCACGTTTGATAGAGAGGAGAGTAAATATTATTACCTACCCATTGTCATGTGGGACATGAGAGGCAAGTCCAGCAACATCTCAATGACAGCCACCAATACGCTGACCATCACTGTAGCAGACAAGAATGACAACGACCTCAAACCAGGAAATCAAGAGATTTTAGTCTACGATTATCAAGGTAGTTTTTTATCTGTCACTCCCTATAGTGTTAAGTTCTTTTTAATCTTGACAGTAGTGTATTTTATCTGTGCACTAGTGTATTTTATCTGTACACTAGTGTATTTTTTCTATACACTAGTGTATTGATAAAATACACTTGTAATCTATGCATGAATAAATGTTTATGTATGAACTTGATACGCAGGATTGTTTGGTGATGTAGAAATAGGGAGGGTGTACGTTGAAGACCCAGATGACTGGGACTTACCAGACAAAACTTTCTCTAACTTGCGCCCAAGTACCATGCAAAATTACTTCAGGTCAGTAGGGCTGTTTTTCATTTTTGTTTTGTCACCCTTTTTTAAAATGTCACCCTTTGTACCCCAGTGTGTCACCAACTTAAATGTCACCCTTTGTACCCCAGTGTGACACCAACTAAAATGTCACCCTTTGTTCCCCAGTGTGTCACCAACTAAAATGTCACCCTTTGTTCCCCAGTGTGTCACCAACTAAAATGTCACCCTTTGTTCCCCAGTGTGTCACCAACTAATGGGATGATCACCATGAAGAAAGGAGTGCCTGTAACTGCTGCCAACTCACCATACAAGTTTCAGGTGTGTAAACCTTTTTATTCTAATACCTGCACATTGCACCTGTACACCACACCTGCACATTGCACCTGTACACCACACCTGTACCTTGACTGTTGGAGCTTGTATTCTGGTTCACAAAGTTGCTTTATATTTCATGTATGTTGCTATATATATATTGTCACCCCTGCCAACTGAAGTGGTTTCTCTGATACAGGTGGATGTTTATGACAAAGTCTGGCAGAAAACTGTCACGTCCACTGTGTCTGTGACAGTACAGGAGCTAAGTGATGAAGCTGTGTGGAAGTCTGGTGCTGTCAAACTTTCAGGTAAAGTCTGTCAAACTTTCAGGTAAAGTCTGTCAAACTTTCAGGTAAAGTCTGTCAAACTTTCAGGTAAAGTCTGTCCAACTTTCAGGTAAAGTCTGTCCAACTTTCAGGTAAACTTAAAAAGTTTGAACAGAGAAGCCTAGTTTAGTGGTGCCCACTGTCCATGTAGTTGTGATGCCCCAGTCATGTAGGACCTCTGCTTGCCTAGTTTAGTGGTGCCCACTGTCCATGTAGTTGTGATGCCCCAGTCATGTAGGACCTCTGCTTGCCTAGTTTAGTGGTGCCCACTGTCCATGTAGTTGTGATGTTCAGTCATGTAGGACCTCTGCTTGCCTAGTTTAGTGGTACCCACTGTCCATGTAGTTGTAATGTTCAGTCATGTAGGACCTCTGCTTGCCTAGTTTAGTGGTGCCCACTGTCCATGTAGTTGTGATGCCCCAGTCATGTAGGACCTCTGCTTGCCTAGTTTAGTGGTGCCCACTGTCCATGTAGTTGTGATGCCCCAGTCATGTAGGACCTCTGCTTGCCTAGTTTAGTGGTGCCCACTGTCCATGTAGTTGTGATGCCCCAGTCATGTAGGACCTCTGCTTGCCTAGTTTAGTGGTACCCACTGTCCATGTAGTTGTAATGTTCAGTCATGTAGGACCTCTGCTTGCCTAGTTTAGTGGTGCCCACTGTCCATGTAGTTGTGATGCCCCAGTCATGTAGGACCTCTGCTTGCCTAGTTTAGTGGTGCCCACTGTCCATGTAGTTGTGATGCCCCAGTCATGTAGGACCTCTGCTTGCCTAGTTTAGTGGTGCCCACTGTCCATGTAGTTGTGATGCCCCAGTCATGTAGGACCTCTGCTTGCCTAGTTTAGTGGTGCCCACTGTCCATGTAGTTGTGATGTTCAGTCATGTAGGACCTCTGCTTGCCTAGTTTAGTGGTACCCACTGTCCATGTAGTTGTAATGTTCAGTCATGTAGGACCTCTGCTTGCCTAGTTTAGTGGTACCCACTGTCCATGTAGTTGTGATGTTCAGTCATGTAGGACCTCTGCTTGCCTAGTTTAGTGGTGCCCACTGTCCATGTAGTTGTAATGTTCAGTCATGTAGGACCTCTGCTTGCCTAGTTTAGTGGTGCCCACTGTCCATGTAGTTGTGATGCCCCAGTCATGTAGGACCTCTGCTTGCCTAGTTTAGTGGTGCCCACTGTCCATGTAGTTGTGATGCCCCAGTCATGTAGGACCTCTGCTTGCCTAGTTTAGTGGTACCCACTGTCCATGTAGTTGTAATGTTCAGTCATGTAGGACCTCTGCTTGCCTAGTTTAGTGGTGCCCACTGTCCATGTAGTTGTGATGCCCCAGTCATGTAGGACCTCTGCTTGCCTAGTTTAGTGGTACCCACTGTCCATGTAGTTGTAATGTTAAGTCATGTAGGACCTCTGCTTGCCTAGTTTAGTGGTACCCACTGTCCATGTAGTTGTAATGTTCAGTCATGTAGGACCTCTGCTTGCAGGCATCTCATCAGAAGAATTCATCAAGCCCTCCAGTGGCTCCAGCATGTACAGCAAGTTTAAAGCCACCATGGCCACCATCCTTGGCTACCCTAGCCCGGACAACGTACAGATTGTCTCACTGACTGACGTTGGTGAGAACTTGGATGTCAGGTTCTCTGCTCACGCCAGTCCTTACCTCAGCGCGTCACAGATAGAGAGTGCTTTGATGCTCAACCAGGACCAGGTCAGTTGTCACCCTTCAGTGACAGGTGTTACATGTCAGTGACAGGTCCAATTGTTACGTGTCAGTGACAGGTCCAATTGTTACATGTCAGTGACATGTATGTGTCAGTGACAGGTCCAATTGTTACATGTCAGTGACAGGTCCAATTGTTACATGTCAGTGACAGGTCCAATTGTTACATGTCAGTGACAGGTCCAATTGTTACATGTCAGTGACAGGTCCAATTGTTACATGTCAGTGACAGGTCCAATTGTTACATGTCAGTGACAGGTCCAATTGTTACGTGTCAGTGACATGTATGTGTCAGTGACAGGTGTTACATGTCAGTGACAGGTCCAATTGTTACATGTCAGTGACAGGTCCAGGTGTTACATGAGAGAGGTGTGGTCTTGCCTTCAGTTTGAGAGAGGTGTTGTTTTGCCCACAGTTTGAGAGAGGTGTTGTTTTGCCCACAGTTTGAGAGAGGTGTTGTTTTGCCCACAGTTTGAGAGAGGTGTTGTTTTGCCCACAGTTTGAGAGAGGTGTTGTTTTGCCCACAGTTTGAGAGAGGTGTGGTTTTGCCCACAGTTTGAGAAAGGTGTGGTTTTGCCCACAGTTTGAGAGAGGTGTGGTTTTGCCCACAGTTTGAGAGAGGTGTGGTTTTGCCCACAGTTTGAGAGAGGTGTGGTTTTGCCCACAGTTTGAGAGAGGTGTTGTTTTGCCCACAGTTTGAGAGAGGTGTTGTTTTGCCCACAGTTTGAGAGAGGTGTTGTTTTGCCCACAGTTTGAGAGAGGTGTTGTTTTGCCCACAGTTTGAGAGAGGTGTGGTTTTGCCCACAGTTTGAGAGAGGTGTGGTTTTGCCCACAGTTTGAGAGAGGTGTGGTTTTGCCCACAGTTTGAGAGAGGTGTGGTTTTGCCCACAGTTTGAGAGAGGTGTGGTTTTGCCCACAGTTTGAGAGAGGTGTTGTTTTGCCCACAGTTTGAGAGAGGTGTTGTTTTGCCCACAGTTTGAGAAAGGTGTTGGTGCTAAAGTGCAGCAGGTTCCCATCAACCTGTGTGTGCAGGAGGTTTATGATGATGGCTGCACAACCTACTACAATGTCACTGGTCAGCCAAGACTGGTCAACTCCAATGGCACTAGCTATGTGGTCATGTCTACCAGCACCACTGCTCAGATGGGATGCCTGGACTCCATGTTCCCTGACCCAGTCCAGTGTAGGGGAGACTACTGCTTTAATGGTGGCACTTGCATCCAAGATGACTGGAACAAACTCAGGTCAGCCCACATGATTGGATTTCATTGTTTTCTTTCCTCATTTGCATTTAATGTCTGCCATCTCTTCATGACATTTGCCTTTTGACCTGCCTGACATTTGCCTGTGACCTGCCTGACATTTGCCCGTGACCTGTCTAACATTTGCCTGTGACCTGCCTGACATTTGCCTGTGACCTGCCTGACATTTGCCTGTGACCTGCCTAACATTTGCCTGTGACCTGCCTGACATTTGCCTGTGACCTGCCTTACATTTGACCTGCCTTATATTTGCTTGTGACCTGCCTGACATTTACATGGGACATGCCTGACATTTGACTGTGACCTGCCTGATAGTTGGCTGTGATCTGCCTGACATTTGACTTGCCTGACATTTTCCTGTGACCTGCCTGACACATGACCTGCCTGACATTTGCCTGTGACCTGCCTGTGACCTGACTGACATTTGCCTGTGACCTGCATGACATTTGACCTGCATGACATTTGCCTGTGACCTGCCTGACATTTGACCTACCTGGCATTTGCCTGTGACCTGCCTGACATTGCTTGTGACCTACCTGACATTTGCCTACTGTGTACCAACCAGCTAACCCCTGACCTTGTTGTTCCCCCAGCTGTGAGTGTATGCCTGGCTTTGATGGGCCCAGATGTCAACAAAGACGGCACTATTTTAATGGGACAAGCGTCTCCTTCTATAACACATTATCCCTGTGCTCAGAGGGCCGCACCAGTATAGAGTTTATCACCACACAGGAGAATGGTGTCCTCATGTACAGTGGTCCTGTGGACAACACACCACAGGTAGTCAACTAATGTTAGCACACAACAGGTAGTCAACTAATGTTAGCACACAACAGGTAGTCAACTAATGTTAGCACACAACAGGTAGTCAACTAATGTTAGCACACCACAGGTAGTCAACTAATGTTAGCACACAACAGGTAGTCAACTAATGTTAGCACACCACAGGTAGTCAACTAATGTTAGCACACCACAGGTAGTCAACTAATGTTAGCACACAACAGGTAGTCAACTAATGTTAGCACACCACAGGTAGTCAACTAATGTTAGCACACCACAGGTAGTCAACTAATGTTAACACACCACAGGTAGTCAACTAATGTTAGCACACAACAGGTAGTCAACTAAAGTTAGCACACCACAGGTAGTCAACTAATGTTAGCACACCACAGGTAGTCAACTAATGTTAGCACACCACAGGTAGTCAACTAATGTTAGCACACAACAGGTAGTCAACTAATGTTAGCACACCACAGGTAGTCAACTAATGTTAGCACACCACAGGTAGTCAACTAATGTTAGCACACAACAGGTAGTCAACTAATGTTAGCACACCACAGGTAGTCAACTAATGTTAGCACACCACAGGTAGTCAACTAATGTTAGCACACCACAGGTAGTCAACTAATGTTAGCACACCACAGGTAGTCAACTAATGTTAGCACACCACAGGTAGTCAACTAATGTTAGCACACCACAGGTAGTCAACTAATGTTAGCACACAACAGGTAGTCAACTAATGTTAGCACACCACAGGTAGTCAACTAATGTTAGCACACCACAGGTAGTCAACTAATGTTAGCACACCACAGGTAGTCAACTAATGTTAGCACACCACAGGTAGTCAACTAATGTTAGCACACAACAGGTAGTCAACTAATGTTAGCACACCACAGGTAGTCAACTAATGTTAGCACACCACAGGTAGTCAACTAATGTTAGCACACCACAGGTAGTCAACTAATGTTAGCACACAACAGGTAGTCAACTAATGTTAGCACACAACAGGTAGTCAACTAATGTTAGCACACCACAGGTAGTCAACTAATGTTAGCACACCACAGGTAGTCAACTAATGTTAGCACAACACAGGTACTCAACTAATGTTAGCACACAACAGGTAGTCAACTAATGTTAGCACACCACAGGTAGTCAACTAATGTTAGCACACCACAGGTAGTCAACTAATGTTAGCACACAACAGGTAGTCAACTAATGTTAGCACACCACAGGTACTCAACTAATGTTAGCACACAACAGGTAGTCAACTAATGTTAGCACACCACAGGTAGTCAACTAATGTTAGCACAACACAGGTACTCAACTAATGTTAGCACACAACAGGTAGTCAACTAATGTTAGCACACCACAGGTAGTCAACTAATGTTAGCACACCACAGGTAGTCAACTAATGTTAGCACACAACAGGTAGTCAACTAATGTTAGCACACCACAGGTACTCAACTAATGTTAGCACACCACAGGTAGTCAACTAATGTTAGCACACCACAGGTAGCCAACTAATGTTAGCACACAACAGGTAGTCAACTAATGATAGCACACCACATGTAGTCAACTAATGTTAGCACACCACATGTAGTCAACTAATGTTAGCACACCACAGGTACTCAACTAATGTTAGCACACAACAGGTAGTCAACTAATGTTAGCACACCACAGGTAGTCAACTAATGTTAGCACACCACAGGTAGTCAACTAATGTTAGCACACCACAGGTAGTCAACTAATGTTAGCACACCACAGGTAGTCAACTAATGTTAGCACACCACAGGTAGTCAACTAATGTTAGCACAAAACTAATGTTTACATGTAGGCACTAACTCAAGTCTATTTACAGTCCCCCTCTGATTACATGCAACTGGAACTGTTTGAAGGATATCCTGTGCTGACAGTCAACTATGGATCCCAGGAGGTTTGTTTGTCACTATCTCTTCAAATCTACTTTGTCATTTTAATATTCTCAACATTTCTCTTTGTGTTACCATCAAGAAACTTAAGACTGTTTGGCCTTCTCTAAACACCCCAATAATCTGTCCCTCTACCAGCTGACCATCAGGCTGAATGGAACCACTGGTACCCCCAGGCTACCTAAACTTAACAATGGCGCCTGGCACAGGATAGACATTGATAAGTTCAATAAGGTAAGCTTGTTTCAGCAAATCACATCTGTAACAAATCCAACAACTATCAGCAACAAATCTCAGAGAAGTGTCCAGAAACCAATGCAACTAAAATTGACCATCTTTTGCCCACAGCAAGTGACCATGACTGTTGACCACTGCATGCTGGTCATCAACAGTAGCACTGATGGAAGAATCCAAGACTGGAGCTCATGTCAGGTCACGGGCACCGTGCCAGGCACTGAAATGTTTTTAAATGTCGAGTCATTCCTGCAGCTGGGTGGCCGCTATCAGAGGTCTGCCACCGACAAAGTTGGATTTAATGGATGCTTGCGCAATCTCATGCACAACTCCAAGGTCAGTCACCAAAGTCAGTTGTTTAAATCTGTTCTAGATTGTTTAACAGACAGCATGCATTTTGTCATTTGGCCAACTACTCTGCTACAAGCCCATCCTTAACTGTTGTCATTTTACAGCTTTATGACCTCTACTACAAGCCCATCTTAACTGTTGTCATTTTACAGCTTTATGACCTCTACTACAAGCCCATCTTAACTGTTGTCATTTTACAGCTTTATGACCTCTACTACAAGCCCATCCCTAACTGGATGTCTGGAGACAATGGTTGTCAGAGGGAAGCCACAGTTTGTGGGGAGGGACTTGCCCAGCCTGTGTGTGGTCAACTGGCTAGCTGTGAGTCCCAGTGGTCTGGTGCAGGTGACACAGTGGCCAAGTGCAGGTGTCAGCCTGGCTGGTATGGTGACAAGTGCTCCAAGGGTAAACACTACAGCCATAACATCATTTTACTCTGTCAACACTGATGTAGATGCTTGCTCTCTACCCCATTAATTGTTTACAGAGGCCCCGACCTATGACCTGCAGAAAAACAGCTACATCCAGTGGAGTGTTAGCGCTAACCTCATCAGTCAATTGATGAAAGAGACAAGTCTGCAGATGACCTTCAGGACCAGGCAAAAGACTGGCACTTTATTCATTGCCACAGACGCCTCTCAGAACATTTTCTTACTGCAGGCATGTTCAACCACCTGACACACTCACCACATGACACACTCACCACATGACACACTCACCACCTGACACACTCACCACATGACACACTCACCACCTGACACACCACCTGACACACTCACCACCTGACACACCACCTGACACACTCACCACCTGACACACTTACCACCTGACACACTCACCACCTGACACACTTACCACCTGACACACTCACCACTTGACACACTCACCACCTGACACACTCACCACCTGACACACTCACTACATGACACACTCACTACATGACACACTCACCACCTGACACACTCACCACCTGACACACTCACCACCTGAAACGCTCACCACTTGACACACTCACCACATGACACACCACCTGACACACTCACCACCTGACACACTCACTACCTGACACACTCACCACATGACACACTCACCACCTGACACACCACCTGACACACTCACCACCTAACACACCACCTGACACACTCACCACCTGACACACTTACCACCTGACACACTCACCACCTGACACACTCACCACCTGACACACTTACCACCTGACACACTTACCACCTGACACACTCACCACCTGACACACCACCTGACACACTCACCACTTGACACACTCACCACCTGACACACTCACCACCTGACACACACATTACCTGACACACCACCTGACACACTCACCACTTGACACACTCACCACTTGACACACTCACCACCTGACACACTCACCACCTGACACACACACCACCTGACACACTCACCACCTGACACACCACCTGACACACTCACCACCTGACACACTCACCACCTGACACACTCACTACATGACACACTCACCACCTGACACACCACCTGACACACTCACCACCTGACACACTCACCACCTGACACACTCACCACCTGACACACCACCTGACATACTCACCACTTGACACACTCACCACTTGACACACTCACCACCTGACACACTCACCACCTGACACACTCACCACTTGACACACTCACCACTTGACACACTCACCACTTGACACACTCACCACTTGACACACTCACCACTTGACACACTCACCACTTGACACACTCACCACTCGACACACTCACCACCTGACACACTCACCACTTGACACACTCACCACTTGACACACTCACCACTTGACACACTCACCACTTGACACACTCACCACTTGACACACTCACCACTTGACACACTCACCACCTGACACACTCACCACATGACACACTCACCACCTGACACACCACCTGACACACCACCTGACACACCACCTGACACACTTACCACATGACCCACATATTGACCACATCTGACCTTGACCCCCAGCTTGTGAACGGCATCCTGACCCTGCGCTACAACATGGGAGCAGGAGAGAGCCAACTCTCCCTGAGTGACTCCCCAGCCAACACTGGCCAGTGGCACACTGTGCTGGTGCAGAGGTTTGGTTCAGAGTTTGTTCTGCTCATGGATGGCGGAGAAGGCAGAAACTTCCAGCTGCAGCCAGCAGACATATCCACCAGTGCCTTCTTCAGGCTCACCTCACCACTCAATGTTGGGGCTCGTGTCCAGCCTAACAGTAATGGAGCTGATGTCATCACTGACGACTTGGCTCAGAGTAAGTTTGCATACATTTGTTCTGGCAACTGTTGAATAGCTGGTTTGTATTGTTTTACTTGGTTTACTGAGATTGAATGACGCCACCTTTTTTCAGCTTGTGTCAGAGATATTCGGCTGAATGACAACTGGCTACCAATGACAGCATCTCAAACTTCTCAAGTTGCGGGTCTAAGTTTTGTCAAATCTTCCAGTCTTGTCAGTGGGTGCAACAGGACAGACTGTGGTACTGGGGTTGTCTGTCCTGTCAACACTGAGTGCCACCCGCTCTGGGAGGCCCACGACTGCCGGTAAACAGCTGTCCTGCTCTGTCTGTCCTGTTGCCTGTCTACCATGTCTAAGTTTACCCTGTTTAATGTCTGTCAACTTCCTGTTTGTCTGTCTGTGTAGACTAGAAGCTCCATCAGTCATGTAGTCCATGAGAGTTTGTCTGTCTGTGTAGACTAGAAGCTCCATCAGTCATGTAGTCCATGAGAGTTTGTCTGTCTGTGTAGACTAGATGCTCCATCAGTCATGTAGTCCATGAGAGTTTGTCTGTCTGTGTAGACTAGAAGCTCCATCAGTCATGTAGTCCATGAGAGTTTGTCTGTCTGTGTAGACTAGAAGCTCCATCAGTCATGTAGTCCATGAGAGTTTGTCTGTCTGTGTAGACTAGAAGCTCCATCAGTCATGTAGTCCATGAGAGTTTGTCTGTCTGTGTAGACTAGAAGCTCCATCAGTCATGTAGTCCATGAGAGTTTGTCTGTCTGTGTAGACTAGAAGCTCCATCAGTCATGTAGTCCATGAGAGTTTGTCTGTCTGTGTAGACTAGAAGCTCCATCAGTCATGTAGTCCATGAGAGTTTGTCTGTCTGTGTAGAGTAGAAGCTCCATCAGTCATGTAGTCCATGAGAGTTTGTCTGTCTGTGTAGAAACTCCATCAGTCATGTAGTCCATGAGAGTTTGTCTGTCTGTGTAGACTAGAAGCTCCATCAGTCATGTAGTCCATGAGAGTTTGTCTGTCTGTGTAGACTAGAAGCTCCATCAGTCATGTAGTCCATGAGAGTTTGTCTGTCTGTGTAGAGTAGAAGCTCCATCAGTCATGTAGTCCATGAGAGTTTGTCTGTCTGTGTAGACTAGAAGCTCCATCAGTCATGTAGTCCATGAGAGTTTGTCTGTCTGTGTAGACTAGAAGCTCCATCAGTCATGTAGTCCATGAGAGTTTGTCTGTCTGTGTAGAAACTCCATCAGTCATGTAGTCCATGAGAGTTTGTCTGTCTGTGTAGACTAGATGCTCCATCAGTCATGTAGTCCATGAGAGTTTGTCTGTCTGTGTAGACTAGAAGCTCCATCAGTCATGTAGTCCATGAGAGTTTGTCTGTCTGTGTAGACTAGAAGCTCCATCAGTCATGTAGTCCATGAGAGTTTGTCTGTCTGTGTAGAAACTCCATCAGTCATGTAGTCCATGAGAGTTTGTCTGTCTGTGTAGACTAGATGCTCCATCAGTCATGTAGTCCATGAGAGTTTGTCTGTCTGTGTAGACTAGAAGCTCCATCAGTCATGTAGTCCATGAGAGTTTGTCTGTCTGTGTAGAAACTCCATCAGTCATGTAGTCCATGAGAGTTTGTCTGTGTAGACTAGAAGCTCCATCAGTCATGTAGTCCATGAGAGTTTGTCTGTCTGTGTAGACTAGAAGCTCCATCAGTCATGTAGTCCATGAGAGTTTGTCTGTCTGTGTAGACTAGAAGCTCCATCAGTCATGTAGTCCATGAGAGTTTGTCTGTCTGTGTAGAAACTCCATCAGTCATGTAGTCCATGAGAGTTTGTCTGTGTAGACTAGAAGCTCCATCAGTCATGTAGTCCATGAGAGTTTGTCTGTCTGTGTAGACTAGATGCTCCATCAGTCATGTAGTCCATGAGAGTTTGTCTGTCTGTGTAGACTAGAAGCTCCATCAGTCATGTAGTCCATGAGAGTTTGTCTGTGTAGACTAGAAGCTCCATTAGTCATGTAGTCCATGAGAGTTTGTCTGTGTAGACTAGAAGCTCCATCAGTCATGTAGTCCATGAGAGTTTGTCTGTCTGTGTAGACTAGAAGCTCCATCAGTCATGTAGTCCATGAGAGTTTGTCTGTCTGTGTAGACTAGAAGCTCCATCAGTCATGTAGTCCATGAGAGTTTGTCTGTCTGTGTAGACTAGAACCTCCATCAGTCATGTAGTCCATGAGAGTTTGTCTGTCTGTGTAGACTAGAAGCTCCATCAGTCATGTAGTCCATGAGAGTTTGTCTGTCTGTGTAGACTAGAAGCTCCATCAGTCATGTAGTCCATGAGAGTTTGTCTGTCTGTGTAGACTAGAAGCTCCATCAGTCATGTAGTCCATGAGAGTTTGTCTGTCTGTGTAGACTAGAAGCTCCATCAGTCATGTAGTCCATGAGAGTTTGTCTGTGTAGACTAGAAGCTCCATCAGTCATGTAGTCCATGAGAGTTTGTCTGTCTGTGTAGACTAGAAGCTCCATCAGTCATGTAGTCCATGAGAGTTTGTCTGTCTGTGTAGACTAGAAGCTCCATCAGTCATGTAGTCCATGAGAGTTTGTCTGTCTGTGTAGACTAGAAGCTCCATCAGTCATGTAGTCCATGAGAGTTTGTCTGTCTGTGTAGACTAGAAGCTCCATCAGTCATGTAGTCCATGAGAGTTTGTCTGTCTGTGTAGACTAGAACCTCCATCAGTCATGTAGTCCATGAGAGTTTGTCTGTCTGTGTAGACTAGAAGCTCCATCAGTCATGTAGTCCATGAGAGTTTGTCTGTCTGTGTAGACTAGATGCTCCATCAGTCATGTAGTCCATGAGAGTTTGTCTGTCTGTGTAGACTAGAAGCTCCATCAGTCATGTAGTCCATGAGAGTTTGTCTGTCTGTGTAGACTAGATGCTCCATCAGTCATGTAGTCCATGAGAGTTTGTCTGTCTGTGTAGACTAGATGCTCCATCAGTCATGTAGTCCATGAGAGTTTGTCTGTGTAGACTAGAAGCTCCATCAGTCATGTAGTCCATGAGAGTTTGTCTGTCTGTGTAGACTAGAACCTCCATCAGTCATGTAGTCCATGAGAGTTTGTCTGTCTGTGTAGAAACTCCATCAGTCATGTAGTCCATGAGAGTTTGTCTGTCTGTGTAGACTAGAACCTCCATCAGTCATGTAGTCCATGAGAGTTTGTCTGTCTGTGTAGACTAGAACCTCCATCAGTCATGTAGTCCATGAGAGTTTGTCTGTCTGTGTAGACTAGAAGCTCCATCAGTCATGTAGTCCATGAGAGTTTGTCTGTCTGTGTAGACTAGATGCTCCATCAGTCATGTAGTCCATGAGAGTTTGTCTGTCTGTGTAGACTAGAAGCTCCATCAGTCCTGTAGTCCATGAGAGTTTGTCTGTGTAGACTAGATGCTCCATCAGTCATGTAGTCCATGAGAGTTTGTCTGTCTGTGTAGACTAGATGCTCCATCAGTCATGTAGTCCATGAGAGTTTGTCTGTCTGTGTAGACTAGAAGCTCCATCAGTCATGTAGTCCATGAGAGTTTGTCTGTCTGTGTAGACTAGAAGCTCCATCAGTCATGTAGTCCATGAGAGTTTGTCTGTCTGTGTAGACTAGATGCTCCATCAGTCATGTAGTCCATGAGAGTTTGTCTGTCTGTGTAGACTAGATGCTCCATCAGTCATGTAGTCCATGAGAGTTTGTCTGTCTGTGTAGACTAGAAGCTCCATCAGTCATGTAGTCCATGAGAGTTTGTCTGTCTGTGTAGACTAGAAGCTCCATCAGTCATGTAGTCCATGAGAGTTTGTCTGTCTGTGTAGACTAGAAGCTCCATCAGTCATGTAGTCCATGAGAGTTTGTCTGTCTGTGTAGACTAGATGCTCCATCAGTCATGTAGTCCATGAGAGTTTGTCTGTCTGTGTAGACTAGATGCTCCATCAGTCATGTAGTCCATGAGAGTTTGTCTGTCTGTGTAGACTAGAAGCTCCATCAGTCATGTAGTCCATGAGAGTTTGTCTGTCTGTGTAGACTAGAAGCTCCATCAGTCATGTAGTCCATGAGAGTTTGTCTGTCTGTGTAGACTAGAAGCTCCATCAGTCATGTAGTCCATGAGAGTTTGTCTGTCTGTGTAGACTAGAAGCTCTATCAGTCATGTAGTCCATGAGAGTTTGAACTTGTCCCCACAGGTGTGTGCCTGGCTACAACAGTGTCAGTGGAGTCTGTGTCAGTGTTTGCCAGCCTAATCCATGTTTCCAAGGAACTTGTACTGTGGTCAGTGGCAAGCCAACATGTGTCTGTCCATCTGGCATGACTGGTCAGTACTGTGATCAAATGGCAGTTGTTGATGATTCCAGCCTCTCTGGTGGAGCCATAGCAGGAATTGTGATAGCAATAATTGTGCTTTTGGGTAAGTTTGGTTGAACCTTGCAGGTAACACACTGTTAATGGATTTTAGATGTCAGGCTGTTATTCCATCTCTAGATGCTCAACACACCAATCCCTTTCCCTAACACTCAGCACCCACCTTGCTCAACACACCAATCCCTTTCCCTAACACTCAGCACCCACCTCAACACACCAATCCCTTTCCCCAACACTCAGCACCCACCTCAACACACCAATCCCTTTCCCTAACACTCAGCACCCACCTTGCTCAACACACCAATCCCTTTCCCTAACACTCAGCACCCACCTCAACACACCAATCCCTATCCCTAACACTCAGCACCCACCTCAACACACCAATCCCTTTCTTTAACACTCAGCACCCACCTCAACACACCAATCCCTTTCTTTAACACTCAGCACCCACCTCAACACACCAATCCCTTTCCCTAACACTCAGCACCCACCTCAACACACCAATTCCTTTCCCCAACACTCAGCACCCACCTCAACACACCAATCCCTTTCTTTAACACTCAGCACCCACCTCAACACACCAATTCCTTTCCCCAACACTCAGCACCCACCTCAACACACCAATCCCTATCCCTAACACTCAGCACCCACCTTGCTCAACACACCAATCCCTATCCCTAACACTCAGCACCCACCTCAACACACCAATCCCTTTCTTTAACACTCAGCACCCACCTCAACACACCAATTCCTTTCCCCAACACTCAGCACCCACCTCAACACACCAATCCCTTTCCCTAACACTCAGCACCCACCTCAACACACCAATTCCTTTCCCCAACACTCAGCACCCACCTCAACACACCAATCCCTTTCTTTAACACTCAGCACCCACCTTGCTCAACACACCAATCCCTATCCCTAACACTCAGCACCCACCTCAACACACCAATCCCTTTCTTTAACACTCAGCACCCACCTTGCTCAGCACACCAATCCCTTTCCCTAACACTCAGCACCCACCTCAACACACCAATCCCTTTCCCTAACACTCAGCACCCACCTCAACACACCAATCCCTATCCCTAACACTCAGCACCCACCTCAACACACCAATCCCTTTCTTTAACACTCAGCACCCACCTCAACACACCAATCCCTTTCCCTAACACTCAGCACCCACCTCAACACACCAATCCCTTTCTTTAACACTCAGCACCCACCTTGCTCAGCACACCAATCCCTTTCCCTAACACTCAGCACCCACCTCAACACACCAATCCCTTTCTTTAACACTCAGCACCCACCTTGCTCAACACACCAATCCCTATCCCTAACACACACTTGGCTAAGATTTCATCCATCATGTTGTTTCACATATTCCAGCACTGCTCCTGGCACTTTTGATATTTGTGTGTGTGAGAAGTAAAGATGATGAGAAAGAGAAAAACATCTTAGAAGTGGACCCTGACGATGACTTTATCAGAGAAAATGTCATGTTTTATGACGAAGAAGGAGCTGGTAAGTTCTCTAACCCATCTCAAGATCCCACTTCTAATGGCCCAGCGCTTGTATTTTTATCCCACTTCTGATGGCCCAGCGCTTGTATTTTTATCCCACTTCTGATGGCCCAGCGCTTGTATTTTTATCCCACTTCTGATGGCCCAGCGCTTGTATTTTTATCCCACTTCTGATGGCCCAGCGCTTGTATTTTTATCCCACTTCTGATGGCCCAGCGCTTGTATTTTTATCCCACTTCTGATGGCCCAGCGCTTGTATTTTTATCCCACTTCTGATGGCCCAGCGCTTGTATTTTTATCCCACTTCTGATGGCCCAGCGCTTGTATTTTTATCCCACTTCTGATGGCCCAGCGCTTGTATTTTTATCCCACTTCTGATGGCCCAGAGCTTGTATTTTTATCCCACTTCTGATGGCCCAGAGCTTGTATTTTCATCCCACTTCTGATGGCCCAGCGCTTGTATTTTTATCCCACTTCTGATGGCCCAGCGCTTGTATTTTTATCCCACTTCTGATGGCCCAGAGCTTGTATTTTTATCCCACTTCTGATGGCCCAGCGCTTGTATTTTTATCCCAGGTGAAGAGGACCATGAGGCATATGACATCACACTTCTGCAAAGGCCAGGGATGGAAACCTCTGCACGCCCCAATGAATATCCAGACAAAAGAGATGAAATGAGCAGAAGAAGTAAACCCATTTTTTATAAATGCGTAATTTTTATACTGCAACATGAGTCAAAGTATTTTCCTGTCATGTACTTACAACTAGAATGCCCCTGACACTAGTGTGTAATGACTGCTATTACTTTCAGATGCCCCTGAATATCAGATGCGTGACCCGTATGAAAAGCTGGAGAGACCAGATGTTGGAAGTTTTATCAACGGCAGAATCAATGATGCAGAAAATGAAGAGCCGTTTGGTGACAGCACACATGAGTTTAACTTTGAGGGAGGAAACAGTGATGCTGGCAGTCTGAGCTCCCTCAACACCAGCAGCAGTGGTGGGAGCCAGGACTACGACTACCTCAGTGAGTGGGGCCCAAAGTTTGCCAAGCTTGCTGACATGTATGGGGCAGGACAATCTGATTCTTGAGCTGCTGTCTTGTTTCATTACTTTTTTGTTAACACTTTTTTACTGTTAAAAAATAGACTGTAAATAATTTGATGTTTTAATCAACCCATTTTTGTGTGTAAATAGATGGACTATATAATATCATGTGGGCACAATCTCAGTGATAACCCTACCACATTTACATAGTAATTGCCTCTTATGCCTTATTTTTCTACCATTGCTATGCATTATAACATTTACTCTTCAAATTAGCATAATCTAAGATAAGTTGAATCTGGACCAATAAGCAGCAGTTCTGTAATTATAATCTTATCCCCTTTAAACATTTTATACAATTAATTTTTTTGGGGCAGCATATGTCAACTCCTTTTGTAAAGTTCAATGTTTTATTTGCTTTGTAAAAACAAGATAAGCTTTCTTAATATATTTGTACTTGAAACATTCCATTCATCATTATATAATAAACAAAACAGAAGACTGAGATGGTCTTTTTCTATGAATTATGTGAAACTGTTTTGTTACCTCACATTAAAATCCATGCAGTTGAATTAGCTGTACTTTTTTCTAGTAATGATTGTTGCATTATGTTCATTACCATTTTTTAAAAACTAGTTTTTCATGTTTTAAATAGTGAAGAAAGTTAAAAAATGATGCAAACATTAATCATTAGCAATACTTTTCTTATCCTCTGGGAGGGTTGAAGAGGTTGACAAAAATCAAGGATTAAAACTTCTCTAAACTTTTGTAGTGGTTTACACCAGCAAGGATTTAATTAGGTTGTCCTACTTTTTAAAAAAATGTAGCTTTGGTATTCGTGGCAGCAAGAAAAGGTCAATCCACCTTTTAGTTGTTTTACAAAGTGAGTGGTAATTTCAAAACTAGATTGAAAATTATTGACATTCGCAAAACTAAAGTAAATTATAGAGAATTAAATGCCCAGATGCAATAAACAAATTAAAAATATATCTGGCCGCGATAAAATAATGAAAACAATCAAGACAAGAGCCCTAAGCTGGCCGTTGTATTAGAATGGGGAAAACTCTAGGAGACCCATAAATGACCTCACACTCATAGGGCGGTTTGTAAAGTTGGTTTTTTTTCTTCAAAAAATCATGATAAAATGACAGCTGTGAACAGACCTACTTTTTTGAAGTGGTTTACAACAGAAAGAATAACTCCACAGCCTTTAGGGGATAATTTAAATAAAGCGGGAGTTATCTCCACTAAACTTTCTAGAATATTCTTATATAGCACTACGGGGGATGGCAACTCAGGATATAGACATTTTTAATTACTAAAAACTTTTTAAAATAGAATCTCTTAGAAAAAAAAAAATTGTGCACCAAGTGAACGCAAACAATGTGTATAATAGTGCGGAATATTAGTACTTTATAAATTTGTGTGGTTTTAGAAAAATCAGAAATAGCGTCAACCACTACTTCCGGTGTACAGAATTTAATCAAAACTTTTACTTGTATGTGAACTTTTGTTTATCTATCTGAAACAGTACTCAAGTTTGAAAAATCAGAAGTAGAATTAGTGCCACTTCCGGCTATTGGAAATCACTGAAAAGTTGATACAGAACTACAAATTTGATATAATACTTATATGAAATTTCATCAGCCTAGCTGCAATGGTAATTAAACTATCATGTTCAGACACACACGCACAGACAAAATTGCCAAACTGTTTTTCCAACTCAGGGAGGTGTACAATGTCGAGATTTTGATTTTTTGCAATTACAATACTTCCTCCGCTTTGTATACGAGAGTAAAAACATCTTGCAACATTTAAATAAGAGGTTAATGGCAGGGGGGAAATTTGCCACGAAGTAACCCCCAACCCCTAATTTAGAAAAAACATGAAACCTTAATAGCTGCCATACTCTCTGCGACTTGAAATTTTATACAAAATAGAAGAAATTAGAAAATTCTAGAAACCGAATATAGATCACTGTTGATGAAAATACAAGTCATTTTGTCTATGGTGACTTAAATAAGACTCATCAACGTGTGCAACAGATTCAATTATGTGAATAGAATTTTCTTGTTTGACAGAAAATAAGATTTATTTTGCAAATTCAGTGCACAAGTGCTTTTAGTTTAACTTTTAATCTCAAAATATTCAAGAGATTTAATTCGACTTCAGAATGCTGGCAACACTCTAGATCTATTCTATACTAAAATGTGAAACAAAAAACTTTTAGTCTAAAATGAGTAAAGAGCAGTTAGATTTACATAAATGGAAACTACCCTCCATGTAGCATGTCTAATAGTTAATAAGTTATGGTAATTTTTCTTTTCTTTTGGTGAATTTTTAAAAATTGCTCAATAATTATAATCTAGTGTTAAAAAATGGGCATAGTGCCAACACCACAGCTTGTACAAACCATCAATCAACTATAGTGGCAAATCAGAGTAGGAAATATGAAAAAGTAAAATATATGCCAGAAATGGACTAAAATGAAAGTCATTAAAATGAAAGTCATTCAATTGAATAACATAAGTCTGGAAAATTATTGAACCTATTTGAGGCTTAATTATTTTATATTATCTACATTAAGAAATGCCTCTTATATGGAAAAAAAAAATGTCAATACATTAAGTAATAAAGATAGGCAAAGTCTTTTACAGGAACAAAAGTTTATTTTTAAATTAAAAATCATTTAGCTAAACATGGAACTGATAAGAGTACATTAAAATGGCGGCTCTTTAAAACAAAATAGACATAGTGGACCATTAGGAGATTATGTACAATGAAAAAGCCAGTTTTTTTTGCATCCCTCGCATCTGTCAACAGGATCAACTGGTGCTGCTTTAAAATTTGCTGGAATTTTGTTTGACACTGAAATAAGAGATGTCATGTCGTTAAATAAGAGATGGCAAGAAATTAAATCATTGTAACACAGCCAAGCATTCCTAATTATAAAGTTAACAATTGTAGAAAAAACATGCACCAAGCCAATCAGTGGTTAGCTGACTGCCGTAGTCAGAGAAGATTGTGATTTATTGTTCATTCCAATGTAAAACAACTAAATCACTAGTCTTCCAGACCACAACAGCCGGGGAGTATTAGTGCATTAGCAGCCCATCACCAGTTACAGTTTGTGGTTAATGCAGCAAGCAAGTAAGTGAAAAATGACAAGCAAAAAGTGTAATTGCAATAAAACTTGACATTCTCTAGAGCTTTTATTTAAGTCATAAAACAATTTAACTTTATGAAACTAGGCCAAAAACCATGTAACACCTAAATCTGGCATTCAAAAACAAAGCAAGCATTTAAAAATGCACTATTAAAATCCATTCCAGTAATCTCCAGAGCTAGGAATATTAACTCCACTCTCATAATATATCAGCATCATGCATAAAATATATATGGAATCAATTCTTATAATTCTATCTATAATGATTAATGTATTAAAAACATTTTCTAGCGGTTATCTTTATTTGCCAGTATTTTATCATGCTGTAGAATCCTGTTTCAACTGCTGATAATTGACAAAGTCATCAAAATATAAGATAAAACAATTCAATTATTTAAAAAATATTGATTCACCACTGAGAGTTTATGTTAGAGTTTGTGTTAATGTTAAGTAACTTGACAAGTCTCAGTTGACATCCCCAATTTCCATGTACAAAGATAGAGAAAAAAAGAGAATTCACATTTTTAAATTAACTCAATATAAAAGCCCTATAAATTTCTTTATCTGAGTACACAGTTTTTGGTAGATGTCAATGGTAATGTTAATCAGCATAGCTGAACACCTAAGAAGTTAGGAAATTTTTCCATGCAGGTAATAGGATGCAAAGCTATGTTTTAAATTTAAAAATCAAATCACACCATTTACAGGTTTTTTCTAATAAACATTATTGTTAATAAAAGATATGGTTAATTTTGTAATTTGTGGTGGGAAAATTGTCCTTGAAGGGAAAAAAATTATCCCTGCCTATAAAAATAAGAGATTTAGTTATATAGATTACTGAATATTAACTTGTTTAATATTTTATAACAATGATAGATACTTAAGAACTTTAATTCAAGATGAACAAGTGAAAAATTTGATGAGCCATAATTATCCACAGGATTCTGGCAGTAAAAAACATTCTTAACACATACCTCATTTGCAATAAGTACTGAGCATTTTGAATCTGGTCTGGTGTTCCACTTATGCTGATAATACGATCATTTGATCCTGGTAACGGTTCATCAATAACTATCATAGCACCAGATCTCCTTCTTATGTCTGTGATACGACTACCACCTTTTCCAATAATAGCACCAGCCAGCTAACAGAAAGAAAAAATAAATTCCATCTAACCATCAGCAATGAATACTTAAATTCTTGGGTTTAAAAAAACAAATTTGCCATTGAACAGTGTTAGACATCAGACTTTGTTGATAGAGAACAGTATGAAACAATCATCAAGCAAACTTACATCTTTGGGTATTGTAACTTGAGTAGTTTCACATTCTTCATCACCAAAAGCCATTCCCTGACCTCCACCTAAGTTTGTCTGTGTAAAGTAAATACAGAAACATCTTTAAAATACACCAAAAGGCTGCTACATCACTTTAATATTTCATTAGAATTATGTGGACCTAACCATTTTATAAAGCCAGTACAGGTAAGACTGATAGATGCTGTATATCTTACCATATCTCCACTGAAATCTTGTTGCATTCCTCCACCAAAACCTCCACCTCCAAAGCCCCCACCACCCATACCTTTAGAAGAGAATTATCAAGTGAATACAAACAAATGTCAACATTGTTATGAGTGATCAAACTTAATATTTTTTTAAAAACTTACCCCTACCAAGACCCATGTTATTGGCATTCATGTTTCCCCTGAAAAAATAAAAATTTTAATCACACTTAAAATGTATTTCTTAATTGTAAACAACATATCAATCAAATCAATTCATGGCACAATGAAACTGTTAGATTATACTTTTTTAAAAGGGACATTAACACAACAAAAGATGTTGGAAAATGGATATTTTAGCGTAACCTTTTAACCTCATATGCTGCCCCTACCAATAAACCACTAACACAGCAGAAAGCTGCTTTTTAAAAACCTTTTTCATTATTTAGTGGGATTTCAGTTATTATATGCTGTGATTAAAATTTTGGATGAAATAAAAAAACGAATCCCCTTTCACTATTGGGATATGTAGTTCTTTTATTACACATTTTAAAATATTAAGACTTTTTCCCCCCACATCCTGAGCTGAAATAAATGAGATGTGACCAGATTGGGGATCCTAGATGCTATAATTAAATAGCTTAACTTTTAAGAAGAGTGTAATAATGAAAATGATGAAGAATATATTCTACCAGTAGAAAATTGGTGTCGATGACGATTTCATTGGTTAAGTTCAATGGAAACTATAAAGCTACTTGACTGGAAAAATCAGACAGACACTCAGAAAACTGATTTTTAAAGACTCTTTTCTTTTTTATTTCACAAGATAACAGTACAATAAATACATTTTAAAATTCCTGATTATTTTTACATTTTATGTTATGTGTTAAATAAGGTTAAAGGTATGGTTTTGTTTAATTTCTTATTTTATAACACTAACCCTCAGGCTTTGGGACGTGGCGATTGTGACAGCGCTTAAGGGTTAATGCCTTAAACTTTGAAATTAACTTGCCAATATTAACTCTTCTATGAGAACAAAAATTACTAACGCTTTTAATGTATATTATATTTAGAAATTATTTTATGGAAAATGGAACAAAGAAATAAGATAAAATCAATGTGTGTGTTGTATCAAAATACTATAAGTGGACATCATAAATTACACACCTCATTGATCCGCCTCTTCCGAAAGCAGAGCCCCTGCCCATTGATGGCTCCATGTCACCTCCCATGCCTCCTCCAAAAGATTTTCCTCCTCTCATACCACCACGCATACCCCCTCGCATGCCTCCTCTGCCAAAGTCCATACCTCCACCCATACCAAATCCTTCCATGCCCCTGAAAAGAGAAATTTAAACATTCAAGATTCACAACAGTTTTTTTTTACTGTAACGTCACAAGAACAGTGCTACAATGTGCAACTTACATTCTTCCCCGCAAGGCACCCCTCAGACCTCTAGGAGGCGGAGCAGCACCACGTGGTAAACCTTTACTTGCTCTGATATCTCCAGTAATGAAGCCTCCATATTCCGGTGCTAGAAATTCATCACTAAATGATGGGTCATATGGGTTGATTGGACCTTTTGGTGGAGCCTGTACCAAGATAAATCAGCCTGATCAGACTATATTTTGAAACCAGCTATATAGCAATGTTACTTTTCCCATTTATTCACAAGTTTTATCTCTATTTTGAATCAATATATCTACCTCACTGATTACTTTAATCCTTGCACAACAATTTATTTTCAACAACAATGCCTAGATGCTTAAATTAACCAAACACAGCTTTCTTAAAAAAAAAATAACATTAATAAGAAATTGTTCTAAGCATTTTAAATTTCATAACAGAAATGGAGGCTATAACTAGAGTTAATGTTTTTAAGTATACAAGGTTAGATTATAATCAGCTTGCAAAGTAATGGCAAACTTCAACATACCAATGGTCCACCATATCATAGTCATACATGACAAATTATAAATTAAGGGTAAAATGTTGGTCATTAACATGTAATAAATTCATTTATATTGAGCCCTTACACTTTTACTATTAAAGAAAAAGAAAATGTATCTTAATTATTTAAAATGATTTGTCATTTAAAGTTTAAAAATGTTTAATTATAACAATTTTTTTTTTTAACTGACAAGTTTAAAAAAAAAATTATTTAAAATTTTAAAAAAATCTTCAGCTCTAATCTTAGTGTATAATGAACTGCCTTGTCTGTGTACCAAAATATCTAAAGATGTTCATATACTTGTGAAATTTGAAGATAAATATTTGCCAATACCTGTTGTAACAGCTCTATAATCTCTTCAATACAACCAACAACAATTTTTGGTTTGCCTGTGATAGCCACTACCCTGTCAGTGGAGTTAGGGCAACAAGTTGAAAACACTTTAATATTTGCTCCAGTTTTCTGAAAAATGTAATTAACAATGAGAGACTTAACACAAGGATTGTTAGTTAGCCCAAAGGAATAAAAGAATAATTTAGCTAAACTTAAATTATTACAAGGATTATTCCTTAGCTGATCAATGTAAGGGTGTGTGGTGAACCCAGAATAAGTCTGAATTTGGTTCACTGGCTTTATTTTCAAGTATTCCACCCAGCTTAAAGACAAAATCTTTCTTACTTCTCTGAGCTCCTTCACTTTAAAGCCCTGCCTGCCAATGATACAACCAGCTTGACTTTGATGGACAATCATTCGAAGTTCAGATTCAGAATCATTTCTTTTATTTCTTGACTGAAAGTACATTTTATAATAGATTTAGATGAGAACAAATATTACATACTGACCATCAGTTTCATGTTTATTTAACTGTTTTATTTCATGTTTATTTAACTGTTTTATTTCATCTTTATTTGACTGTTCCATTGTAAGTTCATGTTTATTTGTTTTACTCATCTTTTTGGTTATAGTACCTTAGCAGGTTCATGCTTTTTTTTTATGTTCATGCATATATTATTCAACGATGTATATTGCTCATGTTCTTATTAAAAAAAGTACCATGCAACTAAACAAATGATAGGTACTTACATCTTCCATTTCTGGTAAAATGTCTAAAAGCATGTCAAGGACTGTGCCCAATTCAGCTCCAATGGATAGAACTCTGAAAAAAGATTACACATGAATTAACTACTAGCTGTACTGAACAGGGTTGTTTACATGACTACAAGTTTTAATGGATGATGGGCTAGCCAACTTATTTACTTGTTTATAGCAGTCCCCATAAATTAACTTAAGCTAAAATGTTTGACCATGAACGTCCCCTACCTTAAGAGTGTATGGAGAATGTGAAAAATATTGTGGAAGGATGTTTATATACATGTACTGGGCCTACATGGAAATGAATGAAGTGAGAGTTTTGCTTGTTTCTTTTTTATTGTAATAATTTTAAGTAAATGAGGGATGGGATGGGTTGGTAGGGTGGGTTTTTAAAGATTTACCAAGTGGGTAGTGGGTTGGTGATAGTAGTGGAAGTAGAGAGTGGAGTTTGCAATGATGAAAAGTTTGATTAAAACATAATAGAAAATTGGATATCAGGGTAGTGGTGGTTACCGTTCGGGACCGTTGCTATCTGGTACTGTAACACTGGCTTTGTACTGCACCGGGAAGGACCAGGGTCAGGAACAATCCAGGGTCGGGTCAGGGGTCGAGGATCGGGATGTTGTTTTGATTGGGAATGAATTTAAGTTGCGAGGGAAGTGGAAAAGGTAATTCAGTTAAGCAACATTGAAAGTTGAGATTATTAAATCGTGGCCATTAATAAAAACTATATTTAATTTAATCAGCAAATGCCACACAAGGTAGAACATATTTTTCAAAATTTGTAAATAAATATTAGAAAATGATATTAGCTATAAAGACAATCACCTGAAATAAAAGAAAGGGATATTTAATTCGAAAGATATGGGGCCCCTGATAATTGAGAGGACTGAGGGATTGAGACCCTTAAGCAATAAAACTACAGTTGACAAGGCATTAAAATGTATACCACTGAAGATGGTACTTTGGCATGCCATGGCTAAAATTCTTAACAACAAAAAATCCATAAACAATGAGCATATACATTTAGATTTGTGTGCCAGTTGGCAAATGTTATTCCAATGTCTACACACATTTGCACAAGTAAGACAACAAAGAAAGTAAATTGAAAAAAATTCTTTCAATTTTTAAGATTGTAACCAAAAATTTGTTTTGTAATATAAAATAAATCACAGTAACATACAACTCAACACATAAGAACTGTATCCTATATATTGAAATGCAATGATTTTCTTGGTTAGCCTCAATGATTTATAAAATAAAAAAATAAAAAACAAACAAACAAAAAACAACCTGATAAAATTAAATGAAACTTACATCATTTCTCAACCTGTTAATGTTGGCTCCACCTTTTCCAATGATAGCGCCAGCATTCTGTTCAATTCAAGAAATAATTACACTAATTAGTGGTACATAAAACTAATACACCACATAGACATTTTAAGTTTAGTGTCAATTAGTCTAAGAACAGACATATAACTTGCCTTGCTCTGCATGAGGATGCGCAATTCGATCCGAGGTCCTTCCCCTCTTCGTCGCTTGGGCAGGTCCACTTCTTCTTCGCCACCCTCTTCATCCCTGGGTCTTTTAATTCTACCTAGACAATCAACACCATTTTGTTAAAATTGGATAATACTGAGAAAAAGAATGGATGTAAAAAAAATACTTAGTGCAAAGACCAATGGCTAGAGTTGCTAGCCAAGCCAATGTTTCCCTGGATCAGACAGGTATGAATCATTTCACTGGATGCAGCCAGATCAATACCTAGTCACAATTCTTTTTTTCACAGTAGCAAAACAGACCAAAGTGGGGAGGCTCGTTAAGTCAAAACTAATAATATTTTTCTCTTAATCAGACTTTGTTACTTTTAGTTTAACTGTCAACATTAACACATTTTGGCAAAGACAACTTTGAAATAAACATAATGTTCACTATATGGAAAATTGGGAATCAACTGAACAAAATACAATTTGCTTTTAGATTCTTTTTTTTTTCTGAGTATATTGAAAGAAACCAATTGATTGATTTTATTAAACAATTTAACCACACCACCTCAAAAAAGATAGAAAAAAAAAACCCAAAGAGAAAAATATTTAACTAAAAAAATAATATATGCAACAATTTGTTACATTTTAAAAATGCTGAAATGATGTTCATGCAATTGAAATTTGTAGAAACTGCTAATTTATAAAGCTAGTGAATACCTTTTTTTCTAATCTGGTAGCACACAGGATACAAAAAGCACAAAGCTAATACAAGTCTCCACTAGGTACAGTAGCCTATTGTAAAAGGACCGTCAGAAGCACCTAAAGAAATCTTGTACTCATTCACTGAGTGACGCTAACCAAAGTAGTAGTCACACGCTCAAGGCAGAGCTTTCATTACCTGGGCTCGCCCTCTCTCTACCTGCAAGATGCCATCTTGTTGACATGCAGGTTACCCGGAGACAGCCAATGGCGGCACGCCAGGTTTACAAGAGATTGGGAGCTCACAATCGATCCCCATCCACTCCTCCCTCATTGCACGTGTTGTGACAAGACGAAGGTTAGCACTGGCAGACCAACCAAACACCAGCGGCTTTTATGTCAGCCTCGTCACACGTGAACATAGAGCAAGGAGAAAATTTTAAAAAAATAATAAAATACTCACTATCTTCTATATCAGACATGTTCTTGTTTGTCTTGCTTCAGGAAATCTGATGATTATAAAGGCAGTATACACCGACATGAGAGAACAAGCTCACAACATTTGATACAGCGTAAGGTATAATACATTCTGCGTACCAAGCTAAAGTATTAAGGACACCCAAGTTTTAACCATTTCAATCGTTAGCATAAAAGACCTCAGCACACACCGATTATACAACAAAAATCAGCACGCGCCGCTAATACAACAGACCTCAGCACACATCGGTGATAGGGCAGCACGCGCCGCTGATAGGGCAGCACGCGCCGCTGATAGGGCAGCACACACCGGTGATAGGGCAGCACACACCGGTGATAGGGCAGCACACAATAGGGCAGCACACAATAGGGCAGCACACACCGGTGATACAAAAGACTTCAGCACACACCGCTGATAGGGGTCATCCATTTATGACGTCCACAATGTTTTTGGATTTTGGACCCCCCCCCCCCCCCCCACAAAAATCCATTTTTTTCCCTTATAAAAGTCTGTATGCGTCCACAAAAGTCAGTTTTTTCGGACCCCCCCCCCCCCCGTGTGGACGTCATAAATGGATGACCCCAAACAACAGACTTCAGCACACACCGCTGAATGAAACAAACACGACTTGGAAACAAGTGAATGAAACAAGCACAAAACAGAAAATCTTGAGACAGATGTCAGCCTAAACAAAAACGTCTAATAACAATCATCGAATCCTCGATGCACCTGGTACTCGACAATTAATTACTAATCAATAGACCGCTTCAACAAAGGATGTATGTTTTCTCGCTAGTCATCAATGGTACACACATGGCATTTACAGATGAGGATGGGTTATTAAACATTATACAGGCGATAAAAAAACTTTGGGCTGCAATAAAGGGTGTGGGGATAAGAGAAATCAGCGGTTATACTGCAAGCAGGATCGTACAGGTTTATTTTGCTTAACGACTTCGTTACAAAATTTGACTGATGTAGTCACCACATTGTGTGGGCCAGATTTCTGTTGCATAGCCCTCACGCAAGCCTACCCCCCCCCCCCCCATAACAAAGTTAACTTTCAGTACTTAATACCCCGTGTAACAGTTACTGTTGAAATCATTTGCAGCAGGCTATACAGAAGCTAAATACTGCTGAACACAACCATAGGGCTTGTATCATGGTGTGAACCAGAGCTTAATGACTATCTAGTAGTAACCGCACCACTGTAGTGGCGCCACTGTATTACATCGCAACATTGAGGACACCAAGCCATTGTTAATAACGGCCTAGATGATGTCCACCGGGGTCAAACTAGAACAAAATGAAGCGTACCTTTATTAGTCCGTGTCACCTAGGATAGAATAAACCCAACCATTTGCTGAACTGTTCACCTCACCTGCGCGCCAACCAACAGGAAAGGATATTTTTCTAATCAATATGGACACGCCCAACAGACAGCCGAGGACATCCGTGTGACCATGGAGACAACAACTTTCTCCAGGTGACAGGCACAGCTAACAGGGATGTGACCAGACCAGGGAAAAAAATTAGGAAATTTTCTTCGGACAAGAACTCAATATGTTTTATCTATTTTTTAAATCGCAGTTAAAGCTGTCGCACGCCATTACTGTTCTAATTAATCGTTTAATATAGCTAATATTATAAATAAAAGAAGTTTATGTTACTCTAAAATGACATTGAAAGTCTTGTCGAATTGCAATTTAATGTTTAACTTATAAACAACTTTTTTTTTTTAAAATTACAATGTAACAAAAGTGGCAATTAAGTTCAACATTTAGCTAATTTAAAGTGTACTAATGTAGTCTAGTTACACTTTTGTTTTCAATTTTAAATTATGCCTTATATATATATATTATATATTATATTCTTTTAAAGATTGGCATGGTAAAAATGTTAATCTTCAACTGTAAAATGCCTAGATTCAGATTAATTGTAATTTGAAAGTTTTGGGTTCAGGTGATGGAAAATGAAATTGACCAGATTAGCTGAAATTAGAAAGGGTCTGATATGTGAACCAAAGTTAACCATTTCGATAGCCAAACCACATTGTTATTTTTGTTTTTGGAATGGCTTAACTGTAAATTGTTTGAGGTCATCCATAAATGACGTCACGTTTTTTTTTTACGATTTTTACCTCCCCTCTCCTCTCCATCACAAAAGACAGACCCCTCCCCCCTAAAATGACGTCACACCTCAGCCAACAACCGCTCCCCCTCCTCAATATTGAATTTTTTTTTAAACATCGATTTTTTTTCTAAAATATTGACTGAGCTCGACCAACGTAGGGTATTGTAATAAATTTATATTACAATTTTTTTTTTAAAGTTTTCTAAAACGCGTAATAGCGGCTAAAACTCAGTTTTAATTACTTTTTTAAAATAAAAAAATATGACGTCACACTATCTGACCCCCTCCCCCTCATCACACGTCACAAAATTACGGATCCCCCCCCACTACGAGTGTGACGTTGTTTATGGAAGACCCCTTATTAATAACAGTCCATGTCGTATTTTTTCTTCGGAGTCACGTTGAGTTCAGTTTTTTTTTAAAATCTGTAGGCCTATAGCATAGGTATTGCAGGAACAGCTATTTGAAATTACTGTGACGTCATTTTAATTTTTTCCCCCACAAGCAGTACCAAACACGTACTTGGGGGTCAAGGTGAGGTCACAAGAGCCACGGTTGCTACAAGGGGGGGGGGGGTGGGGGTAGTCTAGTCCTCATAGTCACCTTTTGCAAGGATTTTAATATTAATTTTAGATAGCTAAATAAAATAAAATCAGAGAGAAACTGTAGATTTGGGTGGGTTAAAATACAGAAAGATAAATTAGGCTATATCGATAGCTAGATTACCAGGCTAGGGAGATGCGAGTTTCATTTGAAGAAAGACATTATTTTAGAGTACTTTTTTCCCGTGTTTTTGATAAATATTCAACTGATATCAGCGGAAAATTTGGACCAAAAAATTGCGTTCTGAAAAATACTGAAATTCGCAGAAATTCTGAATCTTGACCTAGATCTATATTTCATCTTAATCTAGCACCGTCAGACCTAGCGCAATCGTCTAATTAAAAAGAAATGTGCATATTTGACCTAAGTACTGTAATACTCGATTTAAATATGAATATATGGAATGCACAAGTCGGCCGTTTCCGTAAATATCATTTTCGTTTTTTTTTCCTAATTTTTAAAACTTCGGTAAAAATCGAAGATCGGCGGAAAAATTCGGCAAAAATGAAATCAGCGGAGGAAAATTGCAGCTGAAACGGAAAAATCGGATTTCCGCTAAAATTCGGAAAAGTCACATCCCTGGCAGCTAATCGCACAACGACGTCTACCCATCAACTACCCACACAACGACGTCTACTCAACTACCCACACAACGACGTCTACCCATCCACACAACGACGTCTACCCATCAACTACCAACACAACGACGTCTACCCATCAACTACCCATAAAACGACGTCTACTCATCAACTACCCACACAACGACGTCTACTCATCAACTACCCACACAACGACGTCTACCCATCAACTACCAACACAACGACGTCTACCCATCAACTACCCATAAAACGACGTCTACTCATCAACTACCCACACAACGACGTCTACCCATCAACTACCAACACAACGACGTCTACCCATCAACTACCCATAAAACGACGTCTACTCATCAACTACCCACACAACGACGTCTACTCATCAACTACCCACACAACGACGTCTACCCATCCACACAACGACGTCTACCCATCAACTACCAACACAACGACGTCTACCCATCAACTACCCACACAACGACGTCTACTCATCAACTACCCACACAACGACGTCTACTCATCAACTACCCACACAACGACGTCTACCCATCCACACAACGACGTCTACCCATCAACTACCAACACAACGACGTCTACCCATCAACTACCCACACAACGACGTCTACCCATCCACACAACGACGTCTACCCATCAACTACCAACACAACGACGTCTACCCATCAACTACCCACACAACGACGTCTACCCATCAACTACCCACACAACGACGTCTACCCATCCACACAACGACGTCTACTCATCAACTACCAACACAACGACGTCTACCCAACAACTATCTACACAACGACGTCGATCCAGCAACTTATCGCATAACGGCGTCTGCCAAACATTAAAATATTAACAATAACGACTAACCTAAAACAACTGTACAATAGCCTGGTTGCTTGCCGAGGTCTACCCATTATTTAAAACTACCTTTATTACGGCCCCATGTCTAAATGTATTTAGACAATCTGAAATGAAATCTTTGACGAGTTATTTTAAAAATGCCAACAAAGAGCTGATTGATATGGCTCTATAATAGGTCCTAGCCAAGGTTTCAAAAATATCGATACTTCTCCCCTCCTCCGATCAATGTTAAGCGCTACCTTTAGCATTTAAAAATAAGCCAGCTCTTTGTTCTTGAAACGATCGAATGCCACGCAGCAGTCTCAAGACAAAAGTTGAGGCATAATCGAAACATCAATTCGCGCAGGCAATTTTTATCAAACAACATTAATTATACCTACTGGCAACTAATCACCACAGAGGAAAGATGAACTTCTAATGGCAGGGAGCAATGTTAACACAACATACATTGATTTTTGTACCGTGTATCTTCAGAGAGTCATGCCTTTGTTGAAGAGTGACACATGACCTCTCACTTCTGCTAGCTTTACACGGGGGGGGAGGGGGGGGGGGGTGTCATCCATGTATGACGTCCACGGGGGGGGGGGGGGGGGGGGGGTTCAAAAATCGACTTTTGTGGACGCGTGTGGACGTCCACGGGTTGAATTTAAGATCGACGTGCTTACAATTTAAAACAAACAAAGTCTTATCCTGCATGTAAAACGTGAAACTAAAACAACAGCGCAGCATGTAAATAAAGCACTGGATTTAACCTACACCTGTTTTATAAGTAACGTCAAGATATTTGACGTTTGTTGCCTACACTCCCTGCCGATCGTCACTAATCTTC